GGTCAAGAACAAACGGTCAAGAACAAACGGTCAAGAACAAACGGTCAAGAACAAACGGTCAAGAACAAACGGTCAAGAACAAACGGTCAAGAACAAACGGTCAAGGACAAACGGTTACTTTAACCCTGGAAAAGGCAAGTATATTCTTAACACCTGCAAGATGTGTAGTAGATTGTACATAGCCCATTTCCAGTTTAGCCAGATAGTGACCCAGAAAGATTTCCCGTAGCTGATACTGGCAGAGTTTGCCTTGTCTTTTGCGATATCTGACTCTGCTGTACCCGAGGAAGCTATGCTTTCCAACAGTCCCTCAGGAAAATGTAGCCACCTATTTTCTGTCTTTTCTGTTGAGCTTATTTTCGCTAGCCAGTTAAGGGTCTGTCTCCAAAATGTGCAATGACCGTCACTGTTCGGTGAATCAACGCGGCCGATCAAGAAACGATTTTGAACTGAATTTTCTCAAAATAAACCAGGTCTCACTATTATTGAAATAATGCAACCAACGCGGCTCAGATAATGGCTTCTATGGGGAGAGGATTTACATGCTGTTGGTGTTCAATAGTGTACCATGTTCAAGGTTGATATCAACTTTGTGACACAATTTACCACTCATACATCACCAAAGGTGCTGGAAAGAGAACACTTGACGGATATTATCATATCAGCACGGTATTAGTGGATCATTATAGATAAACCTAAAAGCGCAAAGCTCCTGGAACCACATAGCAGACTCTCGGTTGGTCATATCTTCAATTGTGGCTTTCGGCGCTGGATAATGACACAATCTGATCTGGCAGCCATGTTGCTCCTGGGAATACACTTCAAATCAATTACTGGATCGGGCTTCATGTGGATACGGATATCCTTGATCCGATCGTCGCGTTGGTGTATGTACCGCGTTTGAGGCAACATATTGACATCCACAGTGCTCCTAGGAACGGGTGCTGATAAGTCTAACTCGCGAATAGATAAATGTGAATATACTTTCAAAGGTTGACATGACCGCTTCAGCCCACAACATTTAAAGATCATGATTGTCCTTGTGGTCGATTCTCTCGGGTTTTTCTTTCGCTACAAGATCTTGTCATTACGATACCCTCATTAGGGGAGCCAAGCAATCATGGATTACAAGCCGCCACGGGTATCAAACAGGTCCCTCACCCCATACACAGAAGGTCAAAACGGACATACATGGCAAGCTGGTATCGTCCTTCTAGATACCCTTTCTCGAGGAATCCATCGGCTAACAAACCTGTTCCATGGAGGCAATGAATCGGGTGAAAACTTCAGTCGGGTCGTCGGCCAATTCATCCATGGAGATCGCGGCAACGCAAACCAGATTTCGCAACCGTCCGTTGACCGGTCCCTGCCTGACTCTGTAGCTACCTCTCTTGCTAGCTCAAGAGACTCTAAATCGCCTCAAAGCGGCATGAAGGCTGAGACCCAAGGCCTACCCCCACTGGAAGGGAAAAAGAGAGAAGCCGAATCCTCAACCCTCTCACGAAAACTGGCGACGCAAGAGATGCAACAAAAGAGACTTCCAAGTGTTACAGCAATCAGTACGACGATGATAAACGATACGATTCAATACCTACAAGCGGTATCTGATCACATCTCAGTTTCCGACACCATTTCCTCAAAAGAGTGGGCCAAAATACACCTCGCCACACAATTGCTACTGAGCAGGTACGAAGATATCATCGCGGGGGGGAAAATACAAACACATGCTGTGTTCGATTTTCTTTCTGCACAGACTGAACCAGAAGACAAGTGCCGGAGGTGTGTTGCTGCGGATGAGGAGCGGTTATATGATTGAGAAGCTCCTCGTTCTTCTTAGCTACCGTAAGAACAAACGGTCAAGAACTGAGTAAGGAGCGATGAGCGGCAGACTGCGCAATCTCCAGACCTCCTCCCTTTTCTTTCGCCGCCTTTTTAAATATGCACCCGCTCGTACTGAATATAATTGATGGATACGAATTATCAGAAAAGTTACATATGGACAAAGCTCGTCCCCCGCATTTTGAGTAGGAAGAACGCTCCGGAATCCTTGAATTAGATAGTCCTCAAGGATTCAATCTCTTGAATGTTCACGCAAATGGACATGCCTCTGCAAAGGGCTCGGGTACAAAGAATATTAACCTTCTAGGAAAACAATAAAGCCATGGTGGAATCAGAAAATTAAACAACTGCACGGTCTAACTCCACCCTGGTGAGATTACTAAGTGCTCCCGACTTCGTTTGCAGTGTATCTGGGTAAATGGAGATGGCCAAATCTACCACAGTGGCAACCTTGCTAGCAGTGAGATATTTGGCTGGGAGGCAAATATCTCTATCCCCACTCGGGAAAACATCTTCAGAATAGCTCGGTCCCTGTTGGGTGAGGATTGCAAGCTTTATGAAGCCCACTATCCAGGAATCATTCGAAGACGCCGTCCATTGTTTTGTTGTGGTAATCAACTATACCCCTATCAAAAAAGAGACAAGCCACCTGTCAATCGTGACGCCGTATCCAAAAGTCGATTATCATTCGGCAGTCAACAGTGCTCCAGCCAGGGGTTCTCTAGCAAGGCCCACGACGAGATCTTGTGGAGCGTGAAGGAACAGATGATGATAGCCAGGAGCCTCCTGTGCTTGACCGACCACAGCAACAACCTTCTAAATATTAACCCGCCACTCTCGAACCTACGGGAGTCACGAAGTAGACCTTTGATTTCACGTGTACATGCTGTTTGGGGTCATGGTTGCAGGACAAAACTCCTTGCCATACAGTATATTTGTCTGCAAACCATTCGGGTTTTAGAGGTCTTGCGCTGTAAATGGTAGTGAATATTGTGGTATTGTGGTATTCTTCTATTCCCCATTTTCCGCTGTAACTATCAAGCCCCGCCAGATATCTTCATATGCAGAATCCTTAGAACGTTGTGTACGGCAAACGACGGATGAAACCTTGTCCTTTTCAGAGAGCTTAAGGGTCCATGCCCATCCTTGCTCCTCGCTCGAGATATCGCTGGAGACGAGATCGTGAATCTGGGATGTTTCATAAAATGAATATTGAAATACCGGCTTCCCTTCTCGAAACTCAAAAACCTCCTCTTGTTTATGCTTTGAGAGCAAGATAGACGAGAGAGCGAGCTGACTGAGTATGGTTTGTACATTTAATGTGACCCCAGTGATAAGAACAATGTCGGCATTCGGCAGGACTGTGTGATCGTGAAGACATTCCCTGAACAACGTCCAGGACCCCGCCGGAATTCGGAGAGCATCGCAGATATAAAGAATGACATAGTTCTTTTCAGTAAGCTCATGGAGTTGAGACCCAAGAAGCACTGGCTGTGCATCGTGCTTTTCCCTCATATTTTGGAGCCATGAGTCGCTTTTGAAAATTGAAGACCAGAGTAAGATCCGATTTCGATCAGATCCCCAGGGCTCTTGGCCCAAAGCTGATAAGAGATGGCCATGAGAAATGACTGAACTGTGACAACCAATGAGGTCAAGCAACTCCTTCGGAAGCTTCCGAATATAGGGGTTCGCTTCCGCTATGTTTCCTCGGTTTTCCGATGGGTTGATCTCGGTGTCACATTCAAGCGATCTTTTCATTGGCCTCATAATCTCAGACAGGTAGGAACGTATAGCTACCAACATTGTGATTGATGCTGGTCAAGGGTCAACGCTGGTAAAAGATGGTGATGAATTGTCTCGCGACTTGCATTCAGGGGTGCAAAGATTTTCTCGCTGGCTCCGGTTTCCTGGAAAGAAGCCTAGAAGTTCAACGAGGAAAAGTAGAGAGGACTTGAATCTACCTACTTATAAAGGCGGATTCCGTCCCCTTGTGTGATAAGGAGGAAGGTGCTACAATAGCATCAATCCATGATGACGTGGCCATCGAGCTGTTCCTAGGAGTGATAAAATGGCACGGACCCCGTGTAGGTATTGTGCACACATTACCATACAAAATCTTACCACGTGATGGATTGTGTACTTGTCGTCAGTATCTGAACGGGAGAAGTAATTTATATAACATTCTATAATACGATTAGCGCGATTCAGACTAGGTTTCGAGAAGAATTCTGTGAGAGTAAAGTGGTGAAACTGATTTCGATCCATTCTGTATGCAGGTCAGGACTGAGGGAGACGGCATCTCCGTTCGTCCCCAGCTTCCAATAAACCAGGCGTTACGATACATAAAATGGCACTGACATTTCATTACTTACGCGGTATTCGTTTGACAAGGAGACTGTGGCGGTGCATCTTGTATTGTATTGTAAGGACTGTGTAAAGGTAAGTATCCAGAAACAAGGTTTCAGATTGCGCGCTAAGCGTGGTTCTCCAGGACATTCCGTTATCAATTTGTACTCAATCGGACGTTTGGGTTGCATTCTTGCGTGAGCCGTTATCGTAGAAGAAAGCCCGCACGTTTACTTGCAAGTGTAAACAAGCCTAGCGACGAAGTCTGATTTAGGAGCCAATGAATGAAGTAAACAAGGCATGTTTGAAGCTACTATTGTTTTCAAAGGAGGACAAGAAGAATGGGGTGCGAATTAGCACCTAATGGAATTGCGTGTAAGACATCTCCGCAGACCTATTCTTCGTACGCATCTATAACTGTGAACCTCTTTTCTGGTTTAGTCGACAATCAGAGCCTAGGCAATGGCTGGCGAACAAGCCATGCTTACTCTACAAGTGATATTCTTTAATACGATTCGCCAACAGCTTCATCAATAGTAGGAAAGTGCTAAATCTAGAAGTGTGACTCTTTTCTATCCGTACTTCAACTATCACTATATTCATGTCTTACTCTAAGGATATAGGAATCTCTGCGTAAAGAAAATCAGCCCAGGATCGGCTTCATGGTCCGCGACCAGAGGAATAACCTATAAGCCAGCCTTGATACGTTGCGCCTCAGTGAAGTAACGTATTGAGTGAACCTTCTCTGCATGGCTTTTGAAGGCTCGATGTCCACGAAAAGCAAGTCCGCAAAATTTATCAGGGCATGAGATAAACTGGTCTCTTTTGAAGTTGCGGAGGTGCTTTTCGAAATGTTCTCTGGCCTTCCGTGCTGACGCAAAATAACATTGGTAGTTTGGCTCAAACACGCAGAAGAGACAGTGCCGAGTTGTCAGAGAAATTGGACGGTCTCGTGGTTCGGGAGATGGAGAAAAGCCTTGTTCTGATCCGGTGGGCTCATCTGGCGAGGCTTCCTGGCTTTCGTTGGTGATTGTATCCTGTGCCGACTTTTTGGGAACCAAGTTCTCGGATGGCACCCTTTCGACACGGCCAAGATCAATAAGGGCATTGATTAAGACAACCCTTCGCATGATGTCGTCTTCTTCAGAGAGCTCCTGACATGGGATTTGCATTAAGTCTGCCAGTCGGCGACGTTCTTTGAGGCGATGGACAATTCTTTGGGGCTCGTAAGTATCCTGTTTCATGTCCAATAGCGATGGATCAAGTTGCTTGTTGATTTCCAGAGTATCGATGGTGTCAAAGAACTCATTGCGGGCACCAGTGAATGTTGCTTCCTTCAAATTCTTTTTTGCTGCCCTCAACGCAGCATCCGCCTTCGCTTTAAGCTCTCCAATTTTAGTTCCGCTTGCATTTTTCATGGATCCGTAAAGTTCTTTGGCCTCTTGAGCAAGGGCATCACGCATCTGTTGTAGTTTGAGGATCTCTGGGTGGTTTGAGAGCTTAGTTCTCTTGCTCTCAGGCAGATCATCGTATTTGGACGGAGCCCGAGGGTCAATGTAGCGACTTTGGTGACTAAGGATGTTCATCAATGCGTCTTCCGAGGGAATTCCAAGGAATGAAGCCTGAACATGTGTCTGGACCCTTTCGTTCATATATTTCTGAAATGTGCTGGCATAAACATGGCCCATTACTTGCTGTAGCAAGGGAAGGGATGCGGTTTCTGAACAAATTTTGTATGTCAGTCCTGGAAATCACCAAGGCCAACAGCATCATACTCACTGTCAACTGCCTCGCCAGTACCGCGCCGAAGGTCGTAAGGCTTCATGGCCCTAATCATCCCGACGGACAAGCTCAGCCGCTGCAAATAATAGAGATATGTGTGATATCTAAGTGGTTTCATGGGGTGAGTAGTCATTCCAGAATAATATGAGTCTGGCTGGCGGCAAATTGGCACGTTGAGTTTGTCTTTCTTGAATTTCAGTCTGACGGAACGGCGTGGTGGTGAGACACGAGCCATGAATACATCCTCGACAGAATGTATATTTGCCGAAAATGCGTCGTCAAGGATTGCCATTGTAAGCACAAGGACAATGACGTCGAAGACAGGTTGCTTGACTTCAGACATTAGGAAGATTTTTCTTTCAGAAATATTAGCTTGGCGTAAAACAGAGCCTTGCAATCACTGACCTTTTTGGTTTGGTATGATGACCTTTGGTATGTTTCAAATCAATTTCCATCACAAGGTGGTCACGGAGTCCTCCAGGGTTTGGGAGCAGAATCAAACTAATCTGACCGTAGCATAGCGTTTTCAGGTCATCTTCTCTGAGGTCCCAATCTTCTTCATCTTCCTCATTTTCATCTGCACCACCGAAGAAATGCTGGATATTAGTCCGCTCGTTTTGGTCAACATAAACCAGCGCTCCTGGTCGACTGGCGGTATATGCTGACACCAAAAGGAGGAAAGCGAGTTGGATTATTTGACGACCATCGGGATAGGGAGTTGCGTCTCTCGTCCAATGGTGGTGGAGAACGATATACAAATCATCAACGTTCATCACTGGTTTCTCCCCAACAGACATGTCGAGATTGTAACGTGCGACTAGATGCTCTTTCATATACTATTACATTATTGTCAGAAAGCGAACTTGTGAAAAGGCAAAATCATACTCACATCATTAATATCCTGACAACTCTTCGCATGAAGACTTCGCCCCACAGCTTTGCGGTAGAGCTGGCACCATTGCCTCCAGTTCTCATGTAAGCTACTGAACTTCTTGATCTTGGAGTTGTCAAGAATCCACTCGAGAAAAACCATAACGTCTCCCTTTTGCACTGCAACAAGAAATTGGAGTGGATCTTCCCCTAGATATTCACAGTGCCTGTTGGGGTTAGTTCTCATATCAGGACAAAAGATCAGGCACGTCATTACCTGGTCCATCGTCTTTTGATTTTACCAATGTTGTTCTTGGTTGAAGTAGCATGTCGTTTTTGGATAATGCCATTCTCAAGCTGTTGACGACGTCGTCGGTAATACTCAGGACTATGGGCCTGCTTCTTTCCACTCCCACTGGTATCAAGAATAGACATGGCATGAATTGGAGTAGGAGATAGTGAGAAGACGAGATGGTATAAAAAAGAAAAAGAGAAGAGAAAGAAAACCGTAATGACTGAGATCCAGAGAAGACCTGGGGATTGGAAATTGATGATGCACCTGCAAGTCCTGGGCGAAGTGCTCTGGCAAGCCCATGGGCTGACGGGGGGCAGAGGCTCTTTAAATATTGGAACAGAGGCTTGGGTTGGGGGGAGGGTTCAGCACCTAATATAGGGCCTTTCTATTTTTACAAACAGCGGGTACAATCGGTCAACATGGTGGGCAGAACATTATGACGTCCCTGATTTCCCACCATGAGCACCCTGAGTGAAGGGTGAGCTGATCCCTGAGCAACCATGAGTGCTCAGGGAGCGCTCTCTGAGCACTCAGTGAGCAAATAGTAAGAGTGGGTAAATATAAATCACGTGATGCTTTAATGACTAAGAACTTGGTAAATAGGACGCTTAAAATGGCGTCAAAACTAGCCGTTTTCGGCGCCCAATTTACCGTTACCTAGCGTTGTGGTGTAATCATAGTCGAGTAATTCTACATAATTTGATTGTCATTGCCTTCAGTGTACGTTCGTTTGGTTGGCATAAAGCCGCCCGTTTATCCTGCTTGGTAAACCAGCGATTCCCGTGTGGTTCTGTCGTATGTCATCTCCCCCATGTGCCCCGCTGTGGTTTATACCGCCCGCACTCCTCACACCAACTCCCCGTCAAGCCCGACGTCAAGCCTGATGTCTTAGTATGAACCCCAGTCTGCCAAATTTCCCCTTGCCGGGCTCCTCTAGCCCTCCTGGCTCGCGATCCAAATCTAGTCGCCAGATTACCCGAAATCGCGCGAGCTACAGCTGTCACACTTGTCGCCGACGGAAGGTCAAATGTGACAAGGTATGCGATTCTGCTATGGATTTAGATGTAGCTAATGGATTTCGCCTATCAGATACATCCGATATGTGGAAACTGTGTGAAAAACAACACCGAGTGCATCTACGATGCTTCGGCGCAAAAGGATGAAGATGCGCATGACATCTCTCAGCATACGCACGGAGTCAAGCGAAGGAGAGAAAATGCACAGATATTGGAAGAGGGAGTCGATGAGCTCCAATCGATTTATGGGCACTTGAAACAGGCCGAATCATCGACAAGCGACAAATCCGACCCCCGCGCAATTGAGTCACGATTGGACAAGCTCATGTCGATGATTGAGCGTCTCGGCGGAACGAACCAAGCCCTGGAAGCTGCAGCCGAGAAAGACACGACCCTCGATACGAATGTGGAACCTACAGCATCGAACGATCCACGGCCGAGTCATACGAATGGAAATGTGGCACTATCGCGACCTGCCAGCCCGCGTCGCATCGCGGCAGAATCAAGTGGCGACGAGTTCCCGATCCCGTCAGGCCGAGCTACTGATCTGGTCGACCCGGTTGGTAGTCTGAATTTGGGCCACTTAAGCTTGGAGGATGGTGGAAGATCAAGGTTGGTTGGATTTAATTCTAATCGAGAACTATCTATTGACCCAGGCCAGATATGTCGGCACAACGTATTGGGCTTATATTTCGGATGAAGTATGTTATGAATCAATACTATAGGAGTGAACCCTTTGCAGCTAACTCATATTCAGATCAATGAGCTTAATCAATTGCTGAGAGATCAAAATCGTTCGCATGATCAGCCAGCTCCAGAAAGAAACACACAAACGCCAGACCCAGCTACCAATACACAACAGTCATGGAGGGAGTCAGTAGGCAGCTCAACACCTTCGATGACACCCCGGTCCCGCTCGTTCCAGCAATCTATTATCTTTCCCTCCGGTGATTCGCCGTCAACAAATGAAAAGGTGGTGGAGCCAGAAATGCTTGACCATATTCCAACGAAGAGACAGAGTCACATTCTTTACAAAGGATTTATGTCTGGCATACACGCCATCAGCCCCGTTCTCCACCCTCCAACTATTCTCAAGCTCTACAACTCCTTCTGGGACTGGTATGATTACAGCAGCTATTCAGGTGACCCGTGCCCAAGTCCATCATTCATACCACTGTTGTATGCCATCTGGTATGGCGGCTCGGTCACAATCTCAATTCGAGCAATCAAAGCTGAATTCAATGTATCTTCACGCTTTGCACTCTCAACAATGTATAGCGAAGAGGTCACGCGCTGGTTGACAAAAATATCATTCCCGCGCAGCCCGTCTCTTCAAGGACTTGCGGCCTATCTCATTGTACAGACCATCGTTTCAAAAGAGGAAGAGCCTTTGACGAGCAGTCTATTTGTTAGTCTGGCGATGAGGGTGGCACAGAACATGGGATTACATCGGGATCCAGCTAAGTTTGGCATCAATCCGTGCGAGGCAGAATACCGACGCCGACTATGGTGGCATATTATGCACATGGATGGCGTCGTTGCGATGTCAAGTGGTTTGCCTCCTCTTGTCAGTGATGAAAACTACTGGGATGTGTGCGAGACGAGTGAAATCAAAGATACACTGTTGGACAGCCCAGCGGCCGAGCAGTATGAGAAATCGGTCGCATCTCATGGACGCCAACCTGACAATCCGGACGTTCCCAACCTTTGCGGCGGGCCTTCTATGGTCAATGTGTACTACCTCACCGCAAGGGGGAAATATGCCATGGCCCGTGAGTTTAAATTTTCTTTGAGAGATGCAGCAGCTAATCGATCCCGTTAGGTGCTGTCCGACGGATACTGAAAATACAGCTTGGTATCAAGCCTCTTCTTAGGCAGGACATGGAGGAACTTCGATCTATCCTATTAGAATTACAGCTGAAGCTGAATTCAATAATACAGCGAATTCCAGAGGGCAATCCGCTTGACCATTCTTCGACCTCTGGTCGGGCTCTATCCATGTCCAAGTCCCCTGTGGATGGTCGCTCCTCTGATACAGAGCTTCCAGGCGAGGGACCGACAGGATGTCCGGAACAATACCACTCCCCGGTTCTTGTTTGTTTCCATAAGTGGGCCAGAATCATTCTGTCTTTGTATATTGACAAGGTGCGCTTCCTAAGCTCCATGGTGTTGTCCTTGCTAATCTTGCTCAAGGCCTTTTGTGTTGCCTATCAACCTTTCCTCAAGAACGCTCGCAGCCGCATTTGGCCCGCTGCACGACAGAGGTTCGTTGACACGCCGTTCCAAATTTAGGTTATATTCTGATTGTTATAGTGCACTTCGACATTGTCATGGCTTTATGAAGAAGTTCATTCAACTCGCAACTGATCCTGATTTCCAGCCCTTCCAGTGGAGCTGGCCCGGGTAAGTTCCCTTTTATAAGGTTGACCAATATTTACACTAACCTTCTTCCAAGCAACCATCAACCTATGCATGCCACTATGTATGATTCACCTTCTACCTTGATGTCGCTCATCACGCTAACGGAGTATAGGATCATGCTTATTGATTTGTACGAGCGACCTCATAGCCCGGAGGCATCAAAATCACGCGCATTAATCGACCGCATACTTGCTCTATCTGGTCCAGATGGAGGAGTCGTAGGGGGTGAGGACGGTGTATCGACCCAACGACCATTAAAGGATGGAGGCCGTGAAGCCTGGGATATGATCCGTCGCCTTCGTCAAAAGGCCTGGCAAAAGGCGGGACTTAATCCTCAAATGCTCTGGACTGAGCAGGATCAAATCCAAGCCGGTGTTTCCTCACCGGCCGGTGACCCTCATGTTGATGGTCCGCTCTACGCTTCCCATTCTGGATCTCCAGCAGCGCCAAGACCAGCTTCTCGGGCTGCTCCAGCACATGACCCTAAAGTCAACGATTTCAACAAAACATTTTACAACATCACTCGCTCTCACAATCTGTCGAATCTCACCTCTGCCTCTCCCCGACCCAGTCCCTTGCGGTATTCACAGAAACCCCAGGACAAACCCTTACCTTCCTTCAACACACAATACGATCCGAAATCTACACCCAGTCCCATGCTACCCCCTACAGCTCGTCCATATATCCCCTCATCCTCGCCAGAACTGGCATCATTCCAGGATGTGTCTCCGCCAATCCAGGCTCAGCCGCCTTCCGCCTCGACTATCCCCCTACAGCAAGACCAACAGCCACTTTCAAACCTCGCCCCTTCACCCGCCATACCCTTCATGGATACATCCCCTCTAAATCCCATGCCTCTAGGCGACTCTACCCCACCTTCCATGGTCGATCCCAACCTCAACTTCGATTGGGACCAATGGGATGCGGTCTTCGGACAACATCTCCCCGTAGCAGATGATCTCATGGAACTAGATCCCGTTGCGGGCCTTGACTTTGCCAACTTTGGGAACGCATCAAATACTAATAATGCTTCCAGCGGGGATATGGCCGATATCTATCCCAATGGTCTTCCACCTGTACCTTCTCCAAGTGAGATGAATTTCCCCCCGTCCTGGAACGGCAACGGTGCTAGCAGCATGGAGAACTCGAATGGTTGGTCGGGCTACTGATCATACGACTTATACATAGATATAATTGACATGCTTGTAATGTTATGTACCTATCTATAGTTGTTTCTAAATACTTAATGGTACGATATGTGAATTCTCTGTGCACGGTAATGTTTTTATCGCAAATTAAGTAGTATACCGATCCATAGAGACTACAAGTGGGTGGCTCTGTGGTCTATGCGTTCGCTGTTTGGTACCACCTGATCAGTTTCCGGGGATTGGCAAGAATTATCAGGGGTTTCTGGGGCTATCTCCACCATGCAATCCTCGGTCAGATTCAATCATTGGTGACGATGAGAAGCCCAATGACCGTATGTCGATACTTTACTGTCTGATTGGTACACCGAGGGGACTATAAAGCTAAGGAATGGAATAAAAGTACGTAGGAACTCCAAAATTGAAGACGTAAGTAGATGATGAATTCATGAGGCGTAACTCTTGACCCAATGGATCACTCAATCAGGATATAAAGAACATGAGAGCATTATAGAGCAGACACAGACCCAAGATGGGTATGTAGTTGCTTTGCGTCTGGTCTGGAAGTCTCACTCTTCCCTGCAAGGTATTTGTTCGTGAGATGCATTTCTTTTTATTGCCGCCTGCATTAGATCCATAACTATCTAGACCTTCTCCTCGCGGAGACCGTCGGCCCAGACGGTAGCGTAAGGGGTGACACCATCCTCACGGAAATCGATGAGGACGTACATGGCATCACCGTTCATGGACTCGCCCATGAGGAGATCGTAGTTGTCGTAGTTGGAGGTGAGCTTCTTCATGGCAACCTTGACCTTTTCCTGCCAGGCCTTGAGCTCGTCGTCGGACTTGGTCTCGGCGACACGCTTGTTGAGCTTCTTAATGTAAGCTGTAAAGAGTGTGAATTAGCCATCTGTAAGGGTAATGGAGAAAAAGGTGAGCATACCCTTCAGGTGAGACTTGTAGCTTTCCTTGGAGGGCTTAAGACCCTCCTCGGGCTTGAGCCAGACGAGACGGAACTGGTCCTCGATATCGTGGACCATGACGGCCTCACCCTCACCACCCTCTTCCTCGGCATCCTCGGCGGAGGGGTTGGCACCCTCGAGAGCGAAGTCCTCGTTCTTCTTCTTCAGGTACTTGCGGCAGTCAGCCTCCCACAGGATGTCGCAGTCCTTGGCGGGAACGAGGTTGAAGGTATCGGAGATGAGCTCGTCACCGGAGACAATATCCTAGATGCATTGTTAGATTGAAAGGGATCCAGAGTCGCTTGCGAACATACCTTGTAGATAATCATTTTGGCGGTAGAAGAGACGTCTCAAAAAAAATTAGAAAGAGAAGGAAAATTGGCGCTGGAGGAAGAAGAAAGAAAAATAAAGGAGGGGAAGAAGTTTTTTTTAGTGGCGGAGTGGGGGAATTTGACTTGTTTGCTTCTCTCCCAAAGGGGTCTGGCCACCGCCTTAGCGCCTGATTACTATTTGTTGATGTCTTGGGTGTTTTAGGCGGGAAGTAAATAGTTGTAAAGAGGGGATTGGTTTCAATTACTTTCTCTCCCTTCTCGTGTTCAATTTTTGATGTACTTTAATGCAGTAAATTGAGTGCTTTGAGCGTTGGATGATCTGCCAACCCCCCGGGGAACTATAGATCTGAGTCAGCAATCAATCTCTTACCATACCATACCGTATCTGCTCCTCTCTGCCACTGAAGAACTCATCGATAATCGTCCTGTACCGTCACCCTTGTCCGTTTCCGTCTGGCGCCACCCGTCACATCCGTCTCCTGATCGAACTCGCGATCTTTTATCTTTTTATCACCTTCCTTTCCTTTCCTTCATTCTTATTGTCTTACACTTATACAGCCTCTCTAATCCTCGATTGGGCACTTTTGCGTCGTTGCGTCGCGCCTGCTGCTCCTGTCAGCCCCGGACTTCCGCGGAAGTTGCTGGCATCCACTCTCTTTGCTTTCTTTTGACTCCACCTCTTTCAATCTTCGTCTCGAGACCTCTTCGACTTCGACCTCGCTAGCCAGCTTAAGGCATATTCCGCCATCATCATGGCCGTAAACGCTTCCGTCGCGTTCGACCTCCCTCCTTTGCCAGCCTATACACTCAAAGCGCGAGAGAACCTGCTTGATCCGATTCCCGATAATGTTCTTGCGTTGCTCTTACCCATCATCGCCTATTGGGGCATGTCCATGATCTATCACTATCTGGATGTTAATGAATACTTTGTTGAATACCGACTCCACACCCCCGCAGAGGTCTTGAAGCGGAATCGCGTGACTCGGTGGGAAGTTGTTCGTGATGTCGTATTGCAACAAATCATCCAGACCGTGGCAGGTCTTGCGGTAGTATATTTCGATGCAGAGGAGACTGTTGGAAGAGAAGAGCACGATGTGGCCGTGTGGGCACAGCGATTGCGGATTGCCCAGAAGGCTCTCCCATCATTGTTGGCTCTTGTTGGAGTGGATGCAGTTGGCCTTGCCAAGTCTGTGTCCCAAAGCGGCCACACGATTCTCGCCGGAGCTTTGGCCGGTGGTTCCTACCCAAGTGCGACACAGTCGCAGATTCTCGAGAATGGAGCTGAAGTTCTCGCCCCCGCTTTCATGGGCTGGGAACTTGCAGTTGCAGGCTTCATCTACTGGTACTTCGTGCCGGCTCTGCAGTTTATGCTTGCCGTCTCTATCGTGGATACTTGGCAGTACTTCCTCCACCGGGCCATGCATTTGAACCGGTGGTTGTATGGTGGGTTTGATCATTCGAAGACTATTACTTATCTCTTATCTAACCGCCACAGTGACCTTTCACTCCCGTCATCACCGTCTCTATGTTCCATATGCCTTCGGTGCTCTCTACAACCACCCGGTTGAGGGATTCCTCCTGGACACGGCTGGCACTGGAATTGGATTTTTGGTTTCCGGCATGACTAACCGCCAGGCCATGTGGTTCTTCACCTTCTCGACTATTAAGACTGTCGATGATCACTGTGGCTATGCCTTCCCCTGGGATCCATTGCAGCATTTCACCTCCAACAACGCCGCTTACCATGACATCCACCACCAAAGCTGGGGTATCAAGACCAATTTCTCCCAGCCTTTCTTCATCTTCTGGGATCGTCTTCTTGGCACCCAGTGGACTGGTGAGGTTAAGCTGCGTTACGAGAGAGCCCGTGAGAATGCCCAAAAGCAGGTGGACTTTGATGCTACCCAGACACCTGAAGCCGCTCCTGCTGTGACGGTTACAGAGGACCGCGAACACGAGCGCGTGATTGTCTCGCCCGAGGGGCCCGCGACCCGCACCCGTCTGCGCCGAAAGACTGTCGATAGTCTCAAGGGCCCAAGTCATGGGGTTCCTGGAAGTGTTCTCCACAACTAAAGCCGTCATGAATGAAGCACGTGTCACTTTTTTATGCATCCCCAATCCCGTTCCTGGAGCTGCTGGTCGTCTCCGCCAGACTATGGGGCTTTCCGTCATTTTTGTATAAGGGGTTTTGGATCCCAATGTATTAATACTTTCAGAATGTGCCGGTCAATGCTTTGTACATGGTTTGCTTTACGAGCTACTGTCAATAATGTCTATTCATTTGCCATCTACGTTGGTTCTTCATTGGTGTTGTGTGAGATCGTTCAATTTGCAAAAAGTTACTAGGCAACAAAGGAAAGGGGAAAACAGAAAACAAGAACTAACGAGCAGATAAACGCAGAAGAGACAAATTATTCCATCTGGGCGATAATCCCGGTACATATAAAAGAAAAGACAAGAAAGAAAACCTCGAGAGTGAATATCAACTCTTCACCTCTTATTCGCCTCGCCACACACCATAGACCAGACGGTCATCGCGTCAGACTCGCACTTCGACATGTGCCTTTCATGAGCCTCCCAATCCACAATTTCGTCGTCAACCCACTCGCTTTCCTCAGAATAGACCGACGGAGTATACTCAGATGCGGTGTACTGATGGGCTACCGGCACCTCGACCGAATTGGAAACTTGACGATCATTGTGGCCTGTTGCCAAACGCTCCGCTCTTCGTTTGTACGGATTCGTTCCCATGTTTCGATACATATCAATCAGCTTATCTACTTCATCTGGAGGTCCCATGGCAGAGCTTGGTGGCGGTGATGGGACACGCTTCCGGCGGAGCTCTGTCGTGCTGTGCCCATGGGATCGAGAACTGCTAGGGCCAGCCTCCGAACTTTTAGTGCCATGGCGCGAGCGTGAGATATCTCGATGAATTACGGAGTCTTGCCTCCGACGTGAAGAACTGGAATTTTTCGGCCGGGTCGAGCTCCCTTGATGCATGCTGTGCGCTCCAATGTTTGTTTCAGCGCGTCTAATTGAAGACGGGCCTCCTGAATCATACTGTTGAGAAGGGTGACGCAATGCGATTTCTGGCGGTGTCTGGACATAGTCCTTCCTTGGATCATACTTACTATCCGACCTCCTAGGGTGACCACTACCGTGCCTGGATCGTTTGTTGTTGGCATCATTGTACCATGCCTTGATACACTTCTTGCGGGTGTCATTCAAGATGAACGCAAACTGGCTGGAAGTTCTATACAACTCGTCACACTCAGGAAACTGGTCAATGCAAAGGTCCACAAAAAAATTGAGTCTTGAGTGATGACGCTTGCGGGTTCGAGCTAGCTGAGAAACACGAATGCTGCGTAACGCAGCCTTATTATTTGTGACTCGACCTACCATGCATGCATGACAGCAGTTCTCCTGGTAGGGCCAGAACCCTGCACTACGCTCTTTTGTCCACATACCCTTGGTGCCGCGCAACTTCGATAAAATGAGTTGATCAAGCGGTCTGAGCAGGTGCGGGTACCGGTCATACCTGAGCATATGGAACTCGACCTCCCTCTTGATCAATTCCAAAATATTGCAAATGACATCCGAATTGACTCCATAGTGCAGTCGGCACATGTCTTTATTCGAACTTGCAAAGCGTTCACGGCGTACCCGCTTAGGCAGGTCGGCGATTTTCTTCTTGGTGGATTCATCATGCTTCGTGGTCCTAGTTGTATCAGTATGAAGCACATTTATCAGCTTTCTCAGTTCTTCCTTTGTCAGGTCAATGACATATCGCGGGTGTCTACCTCCTGAGGGTCGGGGTCCATAACCACTGACTGAATGTCTCCGATGTCCGTCCTTACCGTGCCTGTCTTCATCGTTTGGGTTGGGTGGAAGGGTCGCATCGGCGCGGCCCTTGAAGTAGTCGGGAACGCGAAACTTAGGCATGAGGTTTGAGTTTTGGGATGAATGTATTGTTCTAACTTGGTAAAACTTGGTATTTTTTGGGTGGTAGAGGAAGAGATATCGGACTTGGGCCTGCTATTTATCTATCAACTACTGGCACTACAAAGATGTTTTCTTTCATCTGTGATAGATCTTTGGCAGGTTGCAAATTATGTTTAGCCCTAAGGAGACAAATATGGTTCCTTCTGATCTTTTTTTTGTCTAACGGACAAAGCCATTGATGGCATCATATGGCTCTTTGCTCCCTTAGACATTGTTTCTTTGTTATTAACTCAACCGACAGAGGACCTTCTGGCAGTGGCTTAGTGGAAATAGTTGAGAAAAAAGAAGACCATGAAAAGCCATTGTTATTAATTCGAAGTCTGAAAGAGCCTGTTTAACCTTTTTATCGGATCACTAGTGTCGGTGCCCTTGTTTTCGTAGTATCAATGTCTTGACCAATATATCATGGACATGAAAACACCTTTTAATCCCATGTCCACCCAATACTTGATTTGAGAATAATCTGTAGACTACGATTTGAGCCATGAATAAAGCATACATCTCGAACGCAAACAGAGAATCATGAAACTTGTTACGTGGGTTTACATAGCAATCAATGTCAACAGGCGTTGCCTTGTTAGACACTTGCCCTTGTCAACAGTTGATCTGTAGGCGCTGTACCATATGTAACAAAGATCAATGAAATCGAACATATACATTTGATATTTTAAAGTCCCATTAAGCGAGCATTTTGCATAGTACTAGAAATATAGCTCACATATTAATATTATTTCCTTATCGGTACGAGATCGTAGCGGAGGGTCAAGCCACGGCTGGAATGCAGACCTATGATAAGCTTATAACACAGCCCCAAAAGGCTTACTCTGTTTGGAACTATAGATGAACTCAAATCAGTAAACAGTCAAATAATAGTGGAATATAATTGATATGTTCGACGTGTACTCTATAAAATAATCTTCGATCACATGGGAAGATGCGTCACAATAGTATCACATGACAGAGAATTAGGTTACCTCGAAATCAACTGTCTCACTGTCTCGCTGTCTCGTCACTCAGTGTCACAGTCCCCTGGCGACGTTTCACTATGACCTGCCCAGGTGAGGAAGGTACACCGTTGCCCTATACCGCATCGCCTGCGAGATTACTATGGAGCGACTTGGTTCTCTTCGTCGACAAGATCTGGGCGCTACCAGGGATCTTCCTGCCCTTGCATCTAGGTCACACCGGCCCGTGGGATGAGTTCTATCCGTCGTTGCGCAATGGATTCATTGTGGTGATACACATATTTCTTATGATTTACCAGGTTGCGATTCTGGTATCGCTGCCAGTCATGGTTCTATTCATGATCCCCGCTCTTTGGATTCTGGTGTATTTCACTGGTGCACTGTTAATCAACTATGTGATTGTCATGGTTGGGCTGAATGGTTTTCGGCGAATCCTGGTGTCACAAGTGCCTGTTGCTGAACGGCCGGGTCATGACCGGGAGTGTTGGTTCTACATAAATGGGATTGCAGCTGGGTGAGCTACTCCTTTTGGCAGTTTCTTTTACTCATTGACTCACTTCAATATAGGAGTGTATGGGTTCAGATGAATGTTGATCAACTGTCCAGCACCTTTGGGAGAAGGATAATCGGTATACATAACCGCACGTAAGTGATATTTGATCTCGAGGAAGGACAAAATACTAACAGAAATCTAGCGCCGGTATTGTCTTTGATATGATTGAATGTCTCATTCAGCGAGACTTTTCCTATGCAACGGGTGATATCCGAGACTCGTATGCCTTGATAAAGCAGGCTTTGTTAAACCCGGAATGTGACAAAGTGGTCCTACTTCTTCACAGCCAAGGCGGCATCGAAGGAGGTCTCGTCATGGATTGGCTTTTGGGTGAGTTTCCCCATGACCTCCTCTGTCAGTTAGAGGTTTTCACATTTGGATCTGCTGCAAATCACTTCAACGCTCCCCGGTGGACGAAGTTGGCAACATCTGACAAGGTCTCAACGACCGATCTGGTGCATCAACATGGCAACTCAATCGGCTACATTGAACACTACGCTAATGCAGCTGATATTGTGGCCTTGGGAGGCGTGCTTCATTTTGTGGACATTCCAAATCGATTCATGGGCCGCTTGTTTGTTCGTCCAAGCTCGGGTCATCTACTGAACCAGCATTACCTGGACAACATGTTTACCCTGGGCCCTGATCACAGAGTGCTTGAGTCAAATCAGTTCATGGATATGGAGGTCGAGCCTTGTGCCTCTGGGATCAATTCATACCTTGATTCTTCGCATAGAGTCAAGTATCGACCAATAGCCCGAGACAAGGGTTTCCTTACTGCCTTGAGCCAGCAAATGCAAACAAATGGCATAGACAGAGTACTTCGTGTGAAGGATTTTAGCCGGCTTTGGCAGTACAGAAATGGAGAATCGCCTGAAGTACATGTACGCAGAAACACTGAGTGATGAAAGTCTCGAGCCATTTCGGTATTAGGTACATAGTGACACTCTCTAGCAAACACGTCTACCCCAAACTCCCAGCCTTGTCACATCCAGACCCGCACATTAGAGTCTGCACTGCCAATCGCAAGCACATGAGAAGTTCCTCCAGACCGTAATAAACTAGGGCCCCAACGGATACAGCTCAAGAACTGCGTAGAGGTTCCTCTGACTGTCTTCACCAACCGCCCATCTTGGGACAAATCCCAGCATCGAATGGTATTATCGTCACTGACACTAATCAGATACTTTCCATGGAAGGCCAGCCCACGAATCCAAGTATCATGGCCTGCCAATGTCTTTATGAGCTGCCCTCGTTCATTCCACAACTTGATGGTGCTGTCCCTAGACCCGGTTGCAACAAACAACCCTTCTTCGTGCGACTTCTTGGGCACCAAAGCAGCAAGATACTCAAGGCTTGCAGCTGGCGCAACAACACAGCATTCAATCTTGTTCTCGTGCCCCAATAACCGTGCCACAGCGTCTCCCGACGAAACTTCCCAGATGGTAGCCGCTCGATCATTGCCCGCAGAGACAACATAACGCCCATCTAGAGATGGCGCAATGTCTCTGATCCACTCACCCTGTGAGTCTATTGTCCTAACGCAATACCCAGTCAACATATCCCAAATGCGAATCGATGCATCCCGACTAGCAGAAACCAACAAGTTCCCATTCGGAGTCAAGAACCGCACAGCAGAAACAGAATGGTCATGGCCACACAGCGTGCGAACATTAGCATACTCATTGCTCGGATCCCAGATCTTAATAGTGAGATCACTCGAGCAAGACGCCAGTCGTATCTGGTCCTTGGGACCTCCATACTCCAGTCCCAGAACTGGTCGCCTGTGACCTTTGAGCGTCCGCTCCAGCTGGCCATACTCCCAGTCCCAGATCTTGATGGTACAGTCTTCAGATCCAGATGCCAAAGACGAATAAACCGGGTGAAAAGCCATACATGTGATGCCGTCCCGATGAGATTGGAGTGCATGTCTTGGCTGGGCATCTGGGAGCCAGTTGGTCGAGTCATGATGGGACCTGACAGTCACAGCGGATTGGAGTTGAGTTTCTAGCTTTGCATTGGTGGCTTCCAGCTCTTGTATCTATATCTATGTCAATATGCATTCTGGGTCAGGTGTATGAAGAGATATCGCACCCGCCTGTTCAAGCGCATGATGGACGTCCACTTGCGTTCTAAGAGCCCCTCGTACTTCTTGCGAGTGGCATCGTCGAAAGTTCCATCGATGAAGAGTTCCCCTTGTAAGATAGCTGTGCTCTTCACGTTGATCGATGATAGGTATGCGATAATGGCTTTGTGGCTAGATGAGGGTTAGACAGTACTCGTGAGAATAGCAGGGCTCTTACAGTTCTCCTGCTTGTCTGGGAGTAAGAAGTTGGCTCATGTTGTTTCAAACTGATGTCAAGGGAATGTGATTTCCGGGAACGCGACGTGTTGGTACTGGTGATATAATCTACAGCCCCTTGCAGTCAATAGCTTTGTCCTTGTCTGTGGTTGGGGAGGCTGATGTACAGGAGGTTGGGCACGCAAAGCAAACACTTTGTGGCAAAGAGGTTTTAGTATTTATGGGCTGCCATGATCTACAAATAGAATGTCTATTGGGCATGGATTTATGAAATGTACAAGATCGGCTCTGATGTACACCAGCGGAGCATGTAGAACCCCAATGGTCAGATCGTAGATCTGTGGTATCAGGGAATAAGTATCCTCGGGTGCATAAAATATAAAAGTGAAAAAAGCAACGCCCATCGCCGTACAATGCAAGTGGAACACAGAAAAGGACCAAAATGCCGAATCACGCCTTGCCCTTCTTCTTTTCCTTCTTTTTCTTATCGGCGCCGCCAGCACCGCTTGGGCCTGCAGGCTCGCCGCCACCCAGACCCAACATGCTCAGATCTGGCATTCCAGGCATAGAAGGCATACCAGGCATTCCCTGCATGTTCTGCATCTCGGCCATCGCATCCTTGAGCGGGTTATCGCTGACGCCACCGCCGCTGTAGGCGGGGGAGTGAATCGGCAGGATCTTTCCAATCTTCCAACCCCGCGGGGCGGCCGGGGCAGCGGGAAGCTTCTCAGGCATGGGCAGACCACGGATGCGTAACCGGTAGGGGGACTGATCGGTCGTCGGGTGGGCCTTGAGGTACTGCGCAACGAGAATGTAAAGGTGGTGCTCTAAGCGAATAAAGTCAGCATATCTTCCCACGCAAAGATGTTTTCCAATTCATCAATCTGGCCACGTACTGTTCTTGATCTTGGAGTTGGCCAGCTGGCCATCCTCATTCTTAACCTGCACACGCACACGACCGGGGTTCGCCCAATCCTTAGGATGCAGCTTCTCCGGCTCCAAGCCAGCATTCAAACCAAGCATCTGAACAGCATCGACAATATCTCTAGCAAGAGGATTTTCCACCGCAAGCTCAGCGCCCACTTTGCGGCCCTCGGCGCGCGATCGGGTCTTGTCGAAGTAAACGGGGTACAGGCATGAGAAATGTCTTGGGATCTCGCGCTGTGGTTCAGGAGCTTGCATTTGAGGCATTTGCATCTGGGGTTGAGCTTGCGGTTGGGGTGCTGGAGCCCGGTTTGGGATGTTTGCGGGCGAGATGATGGCATTGGCGGGGAGGTCGCTGTCGCTGTCGTACTCGGGGGCGACCTCCTCAGGGTCGGAGTCGGAGACTTCCTCAACGCGAGCGTGCGACATGTTGGCTGAATGGATTGGAACTGATGTCTGGGGAAGATCGTGGCCAGTGGCAGAATCGAAAGTTGTGTGCGGAGGGGGGGCGAGTGACCGCCTTGGGAGTTCACTCGACATCACGTCTACTTGGCTATGTTGGAATCTCTGCCGTTTCTTTCCATACGTGTTACACGTGTTGTTCCAGTTTCATACTAACTATATCTTATTGAAATGTCAATGCCCAAGTTTAAGCGGGCGGCATGTCAATATCAACTATATGATCTCCAAACCATAGCCCAAACACTACGAATTGTTGACATCAAAGAGAAAAAAGAGTTAAGAGTGTTACATTACGACACTCTCTTCTGTCTATTACTGGCGATTACTGGTTTGCAAGGGTAACGCCAGGAAATTGGGCAGCGAAACTGTCGTTGATGTTGGCTGTTACCCACATTAGCAAGGAACTGTATACTTTTAAGATCAAACTTGCCAATCTTTGCACGTTCCGGGTCAATAAATTGATTCAACTTGTCGGACAGCAGATTCAAAGCCGGACCGAGGACGTCTCTGAGCAAGCGGCTCCTCAGAAAATCTGACACGACAGCGAGAATGAGTTGGTAGAAAAAGCATGAGCGCCCCTTAGGGTTGAGCAAGCCGAAGATGTTGTATGCACCGCCGGTAATGTTACCAGGTCTATACCAGTGAAGGAGTCCACGGTGCCAATGTTTCCACCGACAAGCACAGGCTCTGGCACTGTTTTGATAATTTGGAGATCCGTCGCGAATGAAACAGGCGAAAACTAGTCCAATTCTCCACGGGGTCGGCGGTACCAGTTGTCAGGGATACGTGTCGTAGCCTGGAATATAGATCAACGTGCCATTCTCATCCTCCTTGATAGAGAAGAAATGATTTGAGGGTTTCTTTATCCAGGATGCCGTAGGGGTGTTCCTCGGAGTGACTAGACATCAAGGCAGCTACATGGGGGACAAGTATCAGTACATGCATCTCTCGAATGTCACGCCATCTTACGAATGAATGTATGCACCGCGTTGGAGACTGCAACTCCAGCGAACAGCACCGAGAAAAAGTACGGATTGTTCTCCTTCGAAAGGTTAAGAGTGTATTGACGGTGTTTGGTTCTTTGCCATCTGTTAGTTCATTCATTATATAGTGACTGCCCTGGTTGACTCACAGCACATCCAAGTTGTAGTTTGGAACACCGTCATCGTTGGCAAGATCGTAGAGAGCCTTGAAGGTATCGGTCCGGAGTGTTGTAACATCTCCATCAGGTAATAGGCTTGGTGCTGTCAGAATTCTTCTCTGGTTTTATTGTGCATAGTACTATCAAGCTCACCCCCCAAGCCTGAGCGCAAGTCCGTAGGCCTCGTTGGGACCTATTGCTCCTTCCGGGGAACTAACGACACCGGACCTCGTAATCATTAGCCTTAATGATTTGAGAATCATGGAGATTTTACATTGTACGCCTATCATAATATCCGTAGTTGGCGAGGACATTGAGGCCGGGACAAGGACCACGGCTGCACAAATTAGTATGCAATTCCGTAGTCATAATACCGTAGATGTCTTCACTCACATATCATGCGGACCCAGGGCCTGCCATGTATGGTCTCCAGTAACATCAAGGAGCTAGGACTCAGCATCAAACCCCCAATCACGTTTCTCTACCCGAGGAGTTCCCTCCTGGGGGCGTGCTCTTTGATCCGTTTCAGGATGTCGTTCAATTTCTCATGGGAGATTTCCGGGGTGTTGCCAAATAGCACAATTCCGCGCAAGGGGACAGAGGGCAGTAGAGAACCTGGCAACCATCGTAAAGAGGAGTAAGAGTCATGAAATCATACTGGTGAGGCCTCGGTCAATGTCTTTGTGGCAATTAGGGTAATAAAGAGCTGCACTTGTCTGTTGTCTTCTGGGCGATTCGGCCTCGACTTCGCATCTTGCTTGGGCCGCAATCCAGCTACACTACATGTGTTCTGTAATCCTAGGACTCTACAACGACGATCTATATGGAGCGAGTGCGAGAGCGAGAATCAATGACTGCCATTATAGAATCTAGATGCAATACTGTGAGGGGTGAGTTCCTCTCAGTTCCTCTCATGGCGAGTAGAATCTATTGATTTAGTCTCGTTGACACCATCAGAGTGGCTGGTGACATTTCCTTATTCCCTGCAGGAAAAGAAAGTAGCTTTGAAGGTATAAATTTCCAAGTTGATCAAACGCTCTCGGGTAAGAAACAGAAGGGCGTGTTTGTCTATGAGATGGACGTGAGAAAGGAGGTGCTGCCGTTAATTCCAACATTGTCCTACATATAGGGGACGGCAAGTATATGAGTCACATCTGACTAAACGAGATAGGAAAGTCGGCAGAGAAAGCCCCCACCCGCGTAAAGAGTCCGAGTGTTACCCCCAGACCAATCCAGTGCTCGGCTTCTCCCCGGCATGCCGAACCCGGACCCCACAGATGCATTGCCTCGGGTATACAGAGTACGTGAGATCATTGGATACATAAGACTCGTTATCTCCTCTAACTCTCTTTCTTCTAACCACAACCTCTAATCATGGCACAAACTCGTATGCCCCACGATGTGTTCAATATTGTTCTCATTCTGACATATTACTAGAAGACAAGACCAGCGCCGTCCTTCACCGAGATACGCGCTTCATCCCCAAGAAGGCTGTTGGTGGTAAGGGCAGCTACATTTTCTTGGAAGATGGGACCAAGTTCCTTGATTCAACATGTGGTGCAGCTGTCTCATGTCTGGGACACGGCCATGAAGGAGTCACCCAAGCCATCAAGGATCAAATGGACCAATTGTCCTACTGTCACTCTGCCTTCTTTGGCACTGAGGTAGCTGAAGAACTTGCCCAATTGTTAGTTGACTCCACTGGCGGAAAGCTATCCAAGCTCTTTGTAGTCAGCTCAGGTAAGTCAATTCAATGACATAGATCACAAGGATATGACTGATATCTGTCACCAAGGCTCTGAGGCTATCGAGGCTGCACTCAAGCTGGCACGTCAATATTTCTTGGAACTCCCTGCGCCTCAGCCGGAGCGTACGAGGTTCATCGCACGTCTTCCTTCTTACCATGGCACTACCCTGGGTGCCCTTTCTGCTGGCGGACACGTGCAGCGTCGGCAACCATTCGAGCCTCTCCTATCCAAGAACACATCCCACATTTCTCCTTGCTATGCATATCGCAACAAGTCTGACGGGGAATCTGACGAAGACTATGTTGCCCGTCTCGCCGCCGAACTAGATGCTGAGTTCCGTCGTGTTGGTCCCGAGACTGTGTGTGCATTTATTGCTGAGCCGGTCGTTGGCGCGGTAAGATCTTCTTCGGTCTTTCCCAAATCAAATCCCTAATGTGATCATTTTAGGCTCTTGGTTGTGTGCCAGCAGTACCAGGATACTTCCCAGCAATGAAAGCCGTCTGTAAAAAGTACGGCGCACTCCTCATCTTCGACGAGATCATGTGTGGAATGGGCCGTTGCGGAACACTGCATGCCTGGGAGCAGGAGGATGTCGTCCCTGATATTCAGGCTATTGGAAAAGGTCTGGGTGGTGGGTACACCCCGGTCTCAGGCATCCTCGTAGATGACTCTATTGTCCAGACTATGGACAAGGGCACTGGAGTGTTCCGCCATGGACAGACATACCAAGGCCACCCGATCTCATGTGCTGCTGCACTAGCCGTGCAGAAGACTATCAAGCAGGAGAAGCTTCTGGATAATGTCCGGGAAATGGGAGCTTATCTTGAAAAGCAGCTGAGGCAGCGATTTGAGAGTCACCCTTATGTGGGAGATATTCGAGGAAAGGGCCTATTCTGGGGTGTGAGTTATCATATATTATATTCATCATCGCTAAGTGGGTTGGATTTGTTGCTGACTTTTTTCAAGCTCGAGTTCGTCAAAGACAAGGCCACGAAAGAGCCTTTTGATCCCAACGACCGCTTGTCATTCCTTATCCAGGAGAAGGGTCTGCAGCCGGAGCATAGCGTCTCGCTGTATTGCAGCTCTGGCACTGTGGATGGAATCAAAGGAGACCATCTGATACTTGCACCGGCTTATATTGTGTCCAAGGGGGAAATTGACATTATTGTGGACGCCCTGGAGAAGGTTCTAGAGGAAGTTTTTGCAGCGCTACAGAAATAGGCTTTCATCCACAGGGACGATGCCGATGCTTAAGAACATGCATTAATGTCAATTTCACAATTTAAAGTTAGTAACTACTGAATCAAACAAACTTGGGAAGTTAAATACAACTAGCCAGGTCAAATAATTCGGTGAAATTTCGGTATTGTACATGTAAACCAAATATAAGTTATGTGATGATGTAGATCAGCCTTAAGCCTCAATAGCAGCCGCCTTCTTCGCAGCAGATTCGGACTCAAGTTTCCCATTGGTAGCATGTTCACGAGGCATCGAGCTTTCCGCCCAAAGTCCAGCAACAGTCTCAACAGCCCGTTCAACGACAACGCGAATACGATCACGCAGAACGGGGTTACCACACTCAACTTCTAAGTCCTCAAGCCAGACGCGCGCAACGTGCTTGTCCACCTTGATCTCGATGCCAGGGACTGGAATACCCATGGCAATAAGACGGTCCATTTCCGCAGCCTCAATGTCGGAGATACGCTCCTCGTTAGCCTCATCTACATCTTGTTCTGGGCCGAGTGCGAGATCGGCTGGGACGCGAGGGCGTTCAATTGGGCCAATGTTGTCACCACCAAATTGTGCTTCCAGCATCATTAGCATACGGGCAAGCTTTTCCTGAGGCCCGGATTGGGCGTGTGGATTAGGAAGGGTAGGCATGTCCATTTCATCGTCGTCGTGGTGATGGTGGTGCTTGTTTTTAGCGGATTCTGATATCAACAAATGTGGTTAGCATAATTCTCGTAGAGAGGGTTGTTGGGATCTTACGCTTCACGGAGGCAGGGCTGCTCTCGACTGTGAGGAGAACAGCCATCACCGCATCCGCAACACCGTCGTTCATCATGTTTCCTTCCCATTCTAACTCGACCTCGCGAGTCCGCGAATGATAATGAAGAGATACACAACCCATGACAAGGAATGTTTGCGTCTCGTCTGATGGAATCTCTTCATCGGCCTCCTCTGGCTTTACGGTCTCATCGGTGTCGTCGTCATTTTGGCTACTGCTGTGTGATTTCTTGGTCGTGCCGACTTCCTCGATGGCTCCGAATGTCCCTTCGAGGGCCCATCTGATCAAGTCCATGCTCGCAGAACTGAGGGTGATATGCTGTTTGCAGGAAATGGTTGTGGTCGTCAACCCAGCATACTCTTGCAAGTCATCGGGGGCCATCAGCGATAGATTGAACCCATTCTGGACCAACACTCCAGCCATGAGCTGGGCATCCGCCTCCTCTGAGGGTGGTGCGAGCTCTGCTAGCTTTCCCACAACCTTCGCAATCTTATCCTTCTTGAACGGAATGCGAACTTCGTCGCAGTTTGCTGGTGTGTAGACTTTAACTTTGACTGCTTTGTCGGCATTAAGACTGAGCAGCTTCGACTTCAGTCTCATCATCTGATGTTTCTCGCCATGGACAAGAATCACAACTGGCGCAGCAACCTCCTCGATGAAGGTGCGGTTTTCAACTCCATCAACGTGGGCCGCAAAGCTAACCTCGTCAATGGTGCATCGACGAGGAATCATAACTTTCTGATCCTCGTCGTTCGCTCCGGGAACGCGGCCTCGTCCATGCCCAGTAGACACCTTGGACATAACAGCCGGGATCTGATCTGGCTCGTTAAGCAGTTGCTTGGCCATGGTTCCTTCAACACTGTAACCAGTCATGACAACACCGTTGCGATCACTCGGTGCCCATCTTTCAAGCAGCTCACGGCTTGTTCCAGTCTGTAACATACCGGGAGAAGCAAGCATCACACATCCTCCAACATCATCGAAACGCTCCAAGCTGCGAAGACTGCGGACGAATCGGAAGTCCCATGGCCCGACACTGACGCTCTTGTCGCCGCTGGCTTCGGCCTCGGCCATGCGTTGCCGGAAGAGACGCTTGATATTATCGTTCATAGCACCGATGTATGTTTGGTACACAACCATACACCGACGTGCCATATTTCCAATATAGTAGATAGGAAACTTTTGAAGCTCGGGGTGCCTTTCCCAATATTCATCAAGGATGAGAAGCAGCTCTTGGGCACGACCGAGGGCAAACACCGGCATGAGAACTCGACCGCCACGATTCAAGACACCCGTGATCGACTTCATCAATGCAGCCTCACGTTCTAGCCGTGGCGGGTTGGAGGAAATACCGAATGTCGATTCTGTGATAAGGACATCAATCTTTGTGCCCTTGGGCACTGCCGCAGGAATTAAGTGTCTGTCTTCCTCGCGAGAGTAGTCTATTCGAGGTTAGTGAAATGATTGGTGCCTTCTTTCGTGGGAACACAATTACCTCCGGTAAACAGAGTCACGAGTCCAGCAATATCAATCTTGAACATGGCTGCACCAAGGACGTGACCAGCCGGGTACGGGGTAATGCGAATGCCATTAATCGTATGTGTAGTGTAAAAGTCGATGGTTTCAATCAAGGGAAGAGTTGATAAGTGATCACGCTCGGTATATAACGTCGTGCGTTGATCAGAGGAAGAGGATGTGTTGCTGACTCGAACGTTGTCTTGAATGAGCCATTTGTAAATTGCTCGAGTGGCGGGGGTCATAAAGACTCTGCCTTTGAAGTTGGTTTTGCTGAGAACATATGGAAGGGCTGATGAGTGGTCGACGTGGAAACTATGGAGAGCATACCGTTAGCAACTGCGACGGTCATGGAGAAACACACAAGATCAAAGACACTCAAATTCAGCAAATTCGAAGGGTACAGGAATACAAGAAATATTTGCATGACATTCAATTGTATTGGGGTTCTCATATATATCCAGGGAAAAAATATGTGCTTCCATCGAGACAGGTCCCGGCAGTAGACTGCCAGATCAACCCAAGCCTCACATCGGGTGATGTGAGAACCTGCACAAAGTGTCCAACACTTTCCCAGAGACTGTATTTCATGTAAAGCAAAGAAGGAAGGAAACACGTACTGGCTGATTAAGAGAACATCCACTGTGCTCAGGTCGAATTCGTCAAAGAACGGAAGGGCAGAGAAGCCTTCTTTCGCTGGGTGCATGCCCGCATCAAGCTGAATGAGACAAAATTAAGTTATTTGAATTGTCACTGTTTGTAACCTTAACTTACCATGACTGTCTTGCCCTTGTACTCCAGAATATGGCAACTTCGGCCGACTTCGTTCCCGCCGCCGAGACAATAGAATGCGAGCTCATCTGATGGATCAACGGGCTCGTCATCCACGGCTGCGCCCATAGCTGAGGCTTTGCGCTTGGCCGCCATTTTGTCGTAGGCAGATCAAATGAGGGGAATGAATGTCAATATGTCCTAGTTGAGTCCGAAAAACAGCTGTTTGGGCACTGGGGCCCGCGGTGGAGGTTGGAGGTGTTAGATCTCAGAATGCGCTGAGCGCAACAACCATGGCCTGCGCAACGCAGCAATAAAAGATGCAGCTGCCTGGCAATTGAAACAAAGACGTCAATGAAATGATGTTATGCGACTTGACGGGTGATTGAAAGAGCAAGGAGCCCTGGAGGTTTTGGGGCTTAGTCAAACATTCGTCACGTGCTGGTCGCGATCCGCGGAGCAAACTCGGCCACTGCAGTAAAAGCTCCCTTACCCCAACCCTCCCCCCTTGACCCTGCCGGCACTTTCGCGTTAAACTCAACTGCTGGTTAATTTGCGCATCGCCTCCATGGCCCAGTACACTTATTGAGATGGTTACAGCTATTGGAAGCTGGTGGTGCGAGCAATCTGCTCATTTCAACGGCCACGCGTGGACGCCTCTTCATATTGAAGACCGCCCCGGATCTGCGCAATAGCGACCCTTCTCATCTTTAAAACAATCTTATTCTCACTGTGCCGTCACCATGGCGCAAGCTCGGCATCCCCAGCAGCAGCAACCCCAGCAGCCGTTCTCTACCCAGCCCTTCTCCCCGCCTGTCTCCTCGCCATCTCCCAACTCGGCTTCATCTCCCGTGAATGGAGCCGCTGCTCCCCCTCCATCAAAAAGACCTCGTTTATCGCCTCTCCCGCCTTCCCAGACACAGTCTCCTTACGGTTCCCCGAGCTTTGGCGCAATGCAGCTTCCACCAAATCCAGCCCAGATGAACGGAGCACCGGTTAACATGAATATGAATATCAATATGACTTCACCCGCCCCTCCTCCCCCGGCCCCTCCCGGGACCATGGGACCTCCTTCTCGCCCGGTGGATAAGACAACGGATGCAGCTGAACTGACGGATGTCTTGGCTTCATCTGGCATTGATGTGAGAGAAGAAGAGGCATTTCTCACACGGAGCTTTTCAGGGCAGAATGCGCAGGCGCAGCCACCCCAGCGAGGTCTCCAGATGCCTCATCCGCCACCTATCAACACCTCTTTCAATTCTCAAGTGTCTACTTCAGGAACGCTTTCAGCTTCCAACAGTTTCGGTGAATTGCCTCAGATTAAGCCCGCGATAACGAATGATTCTTTCACTACCGAGCCGTCTTCGCAAACACCCGTTCCATTCAAAGATCCTAATGAACCGACCCGCGAGGATACTGTGGCAGCAAGACGGGCACAATACCACATCCAAGAACCGTTCTTGTTGACAAAACTCCTTGAGCAGAAGCTTCAGAAGCGAGGCTTTGATCTTGGTGTCCGAATTCCGGCTGAGGGCCTTTTCCATCCCGTTCCAGGTCGGCCCCAGCCTATTGAAGTCACTGGTCCAGATGGGTCTTCTGTGGTGCGCACTGGTCAGACAATCCTCAATCAGGATGGTGCTCCTCTTGTCGACATACTGAATATCCTATCGATCTCCTGCGAGGAAAGACTACGAGGTGTCATTGACTATTCCTCGTCTCTCGCTCGAAGTCGCCGGGCACATTCTCATGGCGCAGTTCCCGCGGAGTGGAAAGACATCGCGCAACCTCTTGGGCCGACTGCAGGAAACGCACAAACTCCTGTGAAGCGTATGCTACCCTCCATAACATATAATTTGCTGGACTTTTTTGTCCATTATTGATCTGTTACTAACATTTTCATAGGCCCCCATTCTGCAATTGAATCATCTGGCACAAAATCCAACGCAGAGCTGTTCCGCATACTTATTCAAAGGGAAACTTTGCAAGAAGAAAGACGTGCAGCCAAGCGTGCCAAACGTAATAGCAATGCTATTCTTGGCGAAGCCGGTCGAGTCGAGTCCGCCGACCTCAACGGGTCCGCACCTTCGACGCCTATGGGCGACAGGACGCCCAGCTTCGACAAGAAATCCATCACGAAGAAGGAGGCGAAGAAGATGGTAGACTCCAAAGCGAGCGAAGCTCAACAGCACCAGCAATCGGTGGAGACGGCGCGTATGGCGCTATCTGGTCGCATGTTCGGTGCTAAAAAATCATACTCATGGCTGAAGTCCGGTGGACCTGCCAGTGGATTCTCATCGCCCTCGCGTCCAGCTCCTTCTACTCCAACTGCTGGTCCGGAAAAATCTGGATCCGGAGAATCAGCACCCAGTCAGACCCACCGACGTCTCGGAACATGGCGCGAAGACCAAGAGAAGGGGGCAGGTATCCAAGTCAGAGATGTGTTGTTCATGCTGGAGGCTGATGGACGGGGTACCAAACACGTGCAAAAGGGCTATCTGAAGGATCCCAAAGAGGATCGAGACCGTGGGAACTAACCAGGTCATAAATGTTTGTAATCTTATTTCTTGTGTCTCTAATTCTTTCCTACGCTCGTCTTGGCTATGTTCACTATGGCTTCGACAAGGAGTTTCTGCATTATCTGCGTGTTCTGGGCGGCGTTGGTTGTCGGGGTGAAGGGCGATGTTCTTTGATTTCTTCATCTACAGGTTGAGCATACATCTTTCGTTGGCGATAGAGGAACTTCTGTACCTCGCTTTATTATGTGTTGTCGCCCTTTGATATGTCAACTCCTTCAAATTTATACGCACTCGAAATAACCTGCTACGTACTTTTTACTTAGAAGCCGGCTTTGATCATTGAAATGTATCGAAATGCTCACAATTTAGCCCGTGTCCTCTATACATTCATGCACCCAAGGCTTCACGAGCCTGGGCCATTTCAGCTTCAGACGGCATATTGACAATGGCCAAGTATAAGACCGTTTGCTGACGCAGTTTCGCAATCGGCGTAAGAAGGCCAATGTTTTGCCCGCGGTCACCACGAGCTCGTCGATCAAACACTCTGTATTCACCAGTTTGAGCCTGGTACGCACTCGAGCCATAAGAACCTCTCTGTCTGGGACAGCGGGAGTCTCGTGCACCCCTCAATTCTCCAATGATACCCATCCCCAGAGGTCGCCCATGAGGAGCATGAGGAGCGGGAGGGTTAGACCGCGATTCATTTTGTGAGTAAGAGTAGTTATGGCTGGCGTATGGTTCCTGATTGTATGAACCGCGAGTACGTCCTAGACCTGGACGAGCACCCTTCAGGCGCTGCAATTTGTCCATGGAGAGATGGCCTCCAGTCACCAGAGCAAGCAGGTCGCCGCTGCTGGCAGGGTGATTGGGATCGGCATAGCGCGAGGTAAATGTGGGCTTTGGTCCTTGGGTTAAATTACTGTCAGGATTGTTTGTTGCCTAGATTGATAGCATCAGCAATGAGATTCTATATAGATACTCCATTTACTCACGAATTTAGCTTGGGCTCGCTTGTCCCAGTAGTTGCTCACGAACTCCCTCTTCTTCTTGGTCTTTGAGAGCTTCTTTTCTGCATCTTCGTCCGAGGCCAGCTGGTCAAGCTCTGGGAATACCAAAGGTGCTACCTCGGGGAAGATAAATCCTTTCCCGTCGGAGGACTTGAACTTGTGCCGAAGACGGCTGAGCATGTCTGAACCACCTCTGTCTGTAGCCTTGAAGATCAGGGAGTTCAAATCCAAAGTCGTAGACGGGGCATCCGGTAACTCAGGATTCCAAGTCATGACCAGGCAGAAGAGACCACGGGGCTGGAAGAACTCTTGATTCAGCTTATCAAAGAATGTGTTGGTCCTGGTCAAACAAGTTTAGTAGATCTCTTGATGATCAACGATATACGACTTACCTCCGGGCTCCATCTACAGCAATTGCAACATCAGTAGCGATCTGGATGGCAATAGACACAGCAATTCCCGTAGCACTGGGCATAAACATCGTTCCAATCGATGCCAGGTTAATTGCATTCAACCAACGCGCTCCCTGACAAGCCTTCTCGGCAGTATCCAGGAAATCAGAGAACATAGGCTGGTCGATACCAAAGTCGGCAAGGTCCGGTGCATAGGCACGAACGAAGCCGCGCTTGCGGTTCTTTGGCCTGCGCTGAGGCAATAGAATTGGCGCAGGTAGTTGCGGTACGGGGATGTCATCAGTCGGCGAGTATGCAGGAGGCGGATACTCAGATGCAAACCGGTGAGCCAGACTCACTTCGTCAACGGCTTCTTGGGCTTCGTTATAGTCTGGAGGACTTTCTTTGTCTCCTGGGCTGCGCCTTAGTTCGTCTTGGGCCTCGTCGAGCTCCCACTGCTCTTCCAAGGCGTCTATCGCGGTTCTCTCTTGGGGGAGATGTCCGCCTTCATGCTCATGTGAGTCGCGTGTGCTGCCTTCTGAGAGACTCCTTGTTGGCTGATTGTTTTCCTCGCTTAACTGCGTTTGTTGCACGTTCTTTGCCTTGTGTGCAGATATAGATTCCGAAACGAGACCTATGCCTGCTGCAAGACATTTGACGGCCTTTGATCCTAGGTAAGACATGACGTCAAGACGTTATTTGTATGAGATGTCAAGGGGTTTCTGAGACGGAAATAATAATTGTATTGGGGTAAACATGTTGTAGCACCAGCAGAACAGCAGCAATTTATATAGGACCATGGCTGGCTTTCAGCTATGGAGGTCATCACCACCCTCCAGTCGCGAAGCATGCTCTTATAGGTATGCAGCTTGTAGGAATTAGGCTCCCAAGAAATGGCCCCCACTCAGCCCTAAAGCCGTGTGAATTAATCCATACAATATTATAGAATGGTCCAAAGAGTTAAGCATGGGCCAGAAAAAATTGGCGGGCCTCACAGCCACACCCCATTAGGGCAACACTGCGACCGGGTGCTAAGCCTAGAGCAAGATTGCCGCTTTACTGTGGAGACTTTTATAGCTTGAAACATGTTAGCTTCTTCTTTCATGTCCATTCTGGCTAAGGCAAAAATCGGATTCGTTTCGGAATGACCCCCGAGGCAGCTCGAGCTTCCAGAAGCGCAACACAGCATGAACGGCGTATATACATATCCCTCCTATTTGCTGTAAGGTTAAAAGTAAATGAAAATTCTAACTAGAATACCCGCTATTTCGATAGGAAAGAAGAAGTTAGAAGGAAGAAGCGGTGAACATAACCGTTTAACCTGACGATATATAGTTTCCTAGTGCCACCAATTTTATCGACTTATAGTAGAACTCTTTTGCAATAGTTCCACCCAATCCTAGAAAATTAGGCTTATTATTATGTCGGACGATTAACGTTATTCAGATCCACCAACTTGTTTCATTTCTATCTAAGATATGCCATTATATTGCGATCATCATCAACGCGGCTAATTTCCTATATCAGAATGTCCCCCTACTATTTATACCTCACTTTCTTTGCGATGCTTCGTCTCAAAGCTTGCACCAGTTCGTGCTGAGAATCCTTACACTTTTACCTTTCAGGCAAACCGACAATCGCTGGCTGAACCATTCAATATCTGATTCAACCTTATGATTAGATTGTATCTAGGTGGCCATTTCCCCCATTCTCTACGGAGATCCTTTTATATTTTCATATTGTCATATTTTCCTATTTTCATATTGTCATATTATCATACTGTACTCCCCAAGATGTCTTTGTCTTATCTCCGCTATAAAGAACGAGCCACTGAGTCAGCTGGAATGTCACCTGTGCCCAGGGATGATGCGGAGAGTCTACGGTGAGCCACATCCGCCCTTCACGCTGGTTTTTATGTTCCCCCAAGCCCTGTGGAAATCTGTTGAAATGCGTTTGACGTATTTCTGTCTCAATCATATTACGGGACTCATGTTCTTTATGATTTGCGGGGATTATGTGGACTGGGTGGACTGGTGGACTGGATGGTTCGGCTAAAGCCAGGGCTTGGACGTGCTCCCCGGTGGCGGACCAAGACCCTCTCTAGACGCCTTTGATTTCATTCCGGGTGTGCGATTGGGACTGGAATGAGGCCATAATATCCCGCTGATCTTTTCTCCTTGGGAGGCCCGTTCACCTTGAGGCCGGAGGCGCATCGTAGCCTGTATAGAGAACCCCCCAAGAGTCAAAATGACCAGGGCATAATTTAGAAGCCTCTGAGAATGTAAGAAGAGACATATATATTATATATTCTCTCGGGTCAATCAAAAAGGAGGCTTAGTCCTAAACGTAAAGAAAAAAATGAGTTATCAAGGCGAGGTTACCGCGTAGATCGGCAACGCTCTCTTACGTCCCCCAACTCTCCGACTCTCCCATCTCTCGTCTTCTCCCCCTCCAATGTCGCCTCGTTCAATGAGCTCAGCTTTCCTTTGAGGAAATGCACTTTTGATTCATTTTGTGTCCGTCAATCTTCGCGTTCCCTCGATCTTGCATCTCCACTTGCTTCCCTGGCGTATCCTGCCTCCAAACCCATTCCTCTCGAGAGAGTCGCGCACAACGATCATCGGCCATCGGCCGTAAATTCCTCCAATCTTCTCTTCCTCTACCGTTCCTTTGACGGATAGGACTTCGTGCACAATGTCCACTCCCTCTACGGCCACTGCAACCCATCCTTCTCACCACCAGGCTTACGGATACCCTCACCACCCCTACCAACCGAATACCTCTTACCCGACTTCCACCACGGGAACTCGCCTCGCGAACCCCTACGCTTATTCCGTCCCCTCTCCAACAACCACCACACTCCCGTACACTCAACCTCCGAGACTTCCTCCGACGACATCGACCCCTTCGGCCATGACCCATCAGAGCGGCTCCAGCGTGGCTCCCTCTGTGGGAGGCCGGAAAAAGAAGCCGGATTGGACTGAGTTCTACAAGAATGGTCTTCCCAAGGAAGTCATTGTGATTGATGATAGTCCCGGACCAGAGTCCAACGGGGCGGCTCCTTCGGCCCATACGTCTGTTGCGAGAGCACCTGCTGCTGTTCCGCAGCCCGCCGGCAAGAGGCGACGAACGGGGATTGAAACCGCCTACGATCTGGGTCACTACGACCGTCCATCTTTTTCCATCAACCCGCAGCAATATGGCGACAACTCGTCGGCTTCATTGTCCACGGACCGCACCACTTCGCTACACACAACCGCACCTACATCGCTCGGTTCGCAGGGCAGCTCTGGTGCCCCCAACGGGGTATACTACGAGGATGCCACTGTGGGTCAAAAGCGGAAGCGCGTTGCCACGCGCAAATCGACTCGCGATGAGCAGAAAAGACGAGAGTTGGAGACCACGGGCGATGCTTTCCTGAGCTACGTACCACCTCCGAAACCACCCATCAAGGCCAAGGATGTTCATGTGCCTATCGTTCGCGATGTGAGTGTTTTTGACCTGTTTCTTGTGCGATTACTGACAGATTTTGCCTTTTCAGAGCACAAGCGCTCAAAACAAGAAGTTCGACGATGACGATGGTCACTACATCGTCACACCCGACACCGCGTTGACCGATCGATGTGAGTCCAGATTTCTCATGGTTTGATGATCATACTGACTTTCTAGACTCCGTCATCAGACTCCTGGGCCAAGGTACTTTTGGCAAGGTGGTGGAGGCATATGACAAGCACCGCAAGTCTCGCTGTGCAGTCAAAATCATCCGATCGATCCAAAAGTACCGCGATGCTTCACGAATTGAGCTGCGAGTCTTGTCAACTCTGTCTTCAAACGACAAGACCAACCGCAACAAATGCATCCACCTGCGGGATACCTTCGACTTCCGGAATCACATTTGCATTGTCACAGATCTGTTAGGACAAAGCGTATTCGACTTCCTCAAGGGAAATGCGTTTGTACCCTTCCCGAGCAGCCAGATCCAGCAGTTCGCCCGGCAACTGTTTACAAGTGTTGCTTGTAAGCTTCTCGCTCCTTCTCATCCCATGTTCCAACTAACTCAGCCCAGTCCTACATGACCTCAACCTCATTCACACCGACCTCAAACCCGAAAACATCCTTCTCGTTAGCAACGCCTACCAGACCTTTACCTACAACCGCACCATCCCCTCTTCTTCTCATGCCACATCTCGCAACGCACGGCAGCGCCGCGTGCTCCTCGATAGCGAGATCCGCCTCATCGACTTCGGCTCGGCCACTTTTGACGATGAATACCACTCCTCTGTTGTTTCAACACGCCACTACCGGGCCCCCGAAATCATACTGAATCTCGGCTGGAGCTTCCCGTGCGACATCTGGAGTATTGGATGTATCTTGGTGGAGTTCTTCACCGGAGACGCGCTCTTCCAGACACATGACAACCTCGAACACCTCGCAATGATGGAAGCTGTCAATGGCAGCCGCATCGACCAAGCGTTGGTGAAGAGAGTAATGGCGGGTGGAAAACAAGGTGGCAGCAACTCTGCCTCGAAGTAAATTTGTCTTCCCCTCAAACTCGTCATCACCGATACTGACTTTGCCTAGATATTTCGTCCGGAGCAAGCTCGATTACCCTAACAATGAAACCACTCGGGCTTCGCGGAAGTATGTACGCGCAATGAAGGGGTTGACGGTACGTTTATTCATATCTTTATGTTAGCTCATTCGCTGATTCTGGCTATTTAGGAGTTCATTCCCACCAACACACCTTTCAACCGTTCATTCCTCGACCTGCTGCAGAAGATCTTTGTCTATGACCCCAAAAATCGGATCACCGCAAAGGCGGCGCTGAAGCACCCCTGGTTCAAGGAAACGCTCGTTGACGATGGCACCGAGGCTTACCGCATTGGCCAAGGACTTTCTCGTCAACAACAACAACGTGCTTGAGCTTCTTCGGTTTACACAGGTATAGCGGCCGACACTCGGCCTTGCCAGCATGGAAAGGGAATTCACCGGCGTGAAAAGGATCCAATTATGGATAGACAGCTTCATATCTCGAGGGTAATCTTTGTTTCTATGGCGGATGGGACGGAAAGGTGTTTTCACTGGCAAAATCATGATCACGATGTTTTTTATTTCTTTGGCTGCAGGCTCTCATGCAGTCTTTGCTGTATCTCGGTTTGTGGCACCACATGGCAACAGCTCGGGCTTACTGCATGTCTCTCCTGGGTGCAACTCATATCCTAACCCTATTTGTTTATCTATTATGCCTTGAAGGCGTTATATGTTACTGCTTTTTTTTCGCGTTTTGAGGAATCCGGTTGGCTTGGAAGGATAGGCTAAGTCCGGATGATTATACCATTTTGATTTTGGCGTCCAATGGTTTAATCGTATGGGGTGTACATAAGTGTTCAATCCAGAGAGTTCTCACTCTCATTCAATTTTGTGATATGTGTCTCTTTCCGGGGCGGATAACCCGAACTGTATTGCGTATGGAGATATGAATATCTGATAGAATGTAATGGAATAGTAGATATATGAGCCCTGCAATTATACCTGTAAATCAATTGTACCTGTACATCAATTGTGTTCCTGCATTGATGCCGATCTCGCATCATTCTTCCGCCATCGGATCTACCCATTCTCCAACGTCTCCAATTCCCCCCTCATCAACTCCCAACATGGACGAAATCACCATCTCCAATTTCCACAAATTGCTACGCCAGGATCCCTCCAATGGCCCAGCACTGGTAATCCATTATCTGGAAGCAATCAAGCAACACGATAGCACCCTCAAAACCCTTATAACAATCAACCCAGAAGCCCTTAAAAGCGCCGAAGAAAAGGCCACAGAAACAGAAACATTCAACAAAAACAACACCCCCTACCCAGTCCTACACAGTGTTCCCGTAATCCTCAAAGACAACTACAGCACATACAACCTCCCCACCAGCGCAGGAGTATCAGCCCTCAAAGACCTCCGCACAACCAACAGCGAAGTAGTAACCCGCCTCCTAAAGGCAGGCGCAATCATCCTCGCCAAAGCAAACCTCCATGAATTCGCCTTACAAGGAACAACAACCTCATCCCTAGGCGGCCAAACCCTCAATCCATATGATGCAGGTCGCACGCCGGGTGGTTCATCCGGTGGCACAGCCGCGGCCCTGGCATGTAACTTTGGACTCGTGGGTTGCGGCACAGACACGATGAACTCACTGCGTTCGCCGGCGTCAGCTTGTGGAATTGTAGGATTCCGGCCATCGACGGGGAGGGTGTCGTGTGCAGGTCTTGTGCCTGTTTCCGAGACGCAGGATTGTGCAGGGCCTATGGGGAGGCGTGTTTGTGATGTGAGGATTATGTATGGGGTCATGAAGGATGAAGATGGAGATGGACATGATGGTCAGAATGGATCTACTTCTATTTCGATACCCCGTCGCAGACCAAGCCGCCAAGTTCGAATTGGAGTCCTGGAAGCATACTTCCCAATCGAGGGATCATGTTCAGAGCCGGAACTACTCTCCGAGAACGAGATCGTACAGGATATCATCCGAACAAGTCTATCATCTCTCGCCTCCCAAGATGAGAATATAACCTTGGTTCCAATCCCAGAATCCAGTCATCCAGACTGGAGCATCACAACCCTCCTCGCAAAAGCCGACACGCAAGCCTTCGAATTCAAGCACTATCTGGACGAATTCCTTCAATCGCAATTTATAACCTCAACACCCCATCGATCCCTCGAGTCGATTATTCAGAGCGGAGAATACGACCAAAAAGCCGCGACACATGTCATGACAGCTGCACTAGAAGACCCAGAAACATACTCGCCCCACAGCGCAGCACATGAAGGACGATTGAAGTATATCGCCTCATTGAAAGAATCCCTACGTGAATGCTTCGATGCATATGATATCGACGCATTAGCTTATCCACATCAACGACAACTGCCCGTGAAGATCGGGGCTACGATGCAGCCGGGTCGGAATGGAGTTTTGGCTGCGTTGACGGGGAGGCCTGCCATCTGTATTCCTGGTATGTTATTCTAATATTTGGCTATCTGGCCGGGGTATAGATTGGTTTGACTAATATATTGTGTGATCTAGCTGGAAGAAGCCCTAGCTCTGATTCTTCTATTCTGGGCGTGCCAGTTGGATTGGAGCTTATGGGACGGCGGTGGGGGGAGGATGAATTGCTTGATCTTGCGGAGCGGGTTGAGGGGATGTCGGAGGCTAGGAGGGCACCTATTTTGAATTATTTGGAATGAGCTAGGTATAGGTGGCTAAGGAAGGGTTTGCTACGAAGCCGGGAAGCATGATCCTTACAATCCCAAGGATAGAGTTACAAACGACAGTGGATAAGTATAGCGGGAGTAAGATGGAAATATATATTCATCTACTCAATTGCTTAGTTTATTGCTTTTTTATAGAATTTATGGCACTATCACTTTGTATGGCATACAAAGTGGTGGACATCTATAGCTGCCTTTTTTGGACAATTCCGTTATCTCTCACAAACCACATTTGTGAATGAGTAATCATTCGAGCACTTGCGTGGTCTAATGGTCATGACGTCTGATTCACATTTGAATCTCACAATTCTCAGAAGGTTCCCGGTTCGATCCCGGGCGCGAGTACTTTCTTTTTGCTTTTTGGCTTTGTAACTTGGCTCTTCTCGGTCGGCACTACGCAATCTGAAATGTAGGAGTTGGCTTTTGTGCGGATTAGTGTTTCTTCTTTATACAATTATGATGTAGTGGTAGGTTATAGTATCGCGTGGTATGTAGCACATGATTTTATAAAGGACTAGAACGTAAGGGATAGGTTTTGCTCTTGCTAACTTATGATATTCATATTATGTGGACAAGGATCAAATGATTAGAAGATCTTTTATAAGAAAACCAATCTATAACGTTATTCGAAAGGTACTTCTCTATGTGCTAATTTGAAGGGCCAGTTAAATAGGGTTAGATGTATCCGATAGTAAAACTCGCGATATTTCGCACTATTTGCCTTTTCCATTCATAAATGCTAAAAGTGCTTTGTTGTTTATTCAAGCACTTGCGTGGTCTAATGGTCATGACGTCTGATTCACAATTTGAATCTCACAATTCTCAGAAGGTTCCCGGTTCGATCCCGGGCGCGAGTACACTACCTTTTTGCTATTTTTGCTATTTTGGTTTCTAGATCCATGAGCACTCGCTACTATATAAATACCTTCTTTAGTTAGATGGCTTCAGGTTCTAGGACTCTTTTTAATCTACGTTGCCAATATAGTAGACCTCAAGCCTTCTCTTTACACCCTCATCCCTATCGATAGGAAGAAAGTACGATTTTGTGTTTCAAATATTACAGTTACCGTCCTATAGTGATATTTCCACCATTCACCGTTTCACTAGAGAATGGGTGCTATGGCATACGCTAATAGACTTGATAGACACAAGTTACTATATCAAAAAATGACATCCATGGATCTATGTAGGCTCACTTATATAAAGCAAACAGTATCAAAATGTAAAGGATGCAAACCGAGAATAAAGGACCAAAGACGGCCAAAGAGTAACGGGGTATCCGTCACAATAAAACAATGCAGAAGCACGCTGTTCAACGCCGAAACCCAATATTTACATTCCGCGGTTAAACTCAACCATACCCTGATCACCACCACGACCCCGGAACTCCTCCTCCAAGCTACTAGCACTAATAGCCTGACGAGAAGGGAAAGCCGCCAGTGCAAGCGGCAAAGCAAAGAGCGAAGTACCCAAGATAAGCGCCAGGTTAACAGGCATAACCATACGAGGCCGGGCACGCAGCCACTGCGTCTTCTCAAACTTGACCAAGATAAGAGGCGGCAGAACCATAATAGGCGTGGCATTCAGAACGCGCGAGATGGCAGTTTCGCCGACTGCAAGGGTAGCAGCCTTCTTACTCTTACCGAGACTCTGGACCGGCTCAGCATCCTCGATCAGCTCGCGCTTGGCACGTTCTTCAGCTGAGAGAACGGGGTAGACATCGATGCCTTGACGGATTTCTTCGCCCCGCATGAGGAAGACGTTCAGAGCGCTGGCGCTGGCGACAGCAGCGAAGGGGACGAGACGGGACAGGATGAGACGGGTGTTGGGGGAGATGCTCTTGAGACGGGGGACGAGAGCTTTCAGGCCGAGAGCTGTCGAGCAAGAAGCCGAGACGGCCATGAGGTATGACTGGGCGATCTGCGAGGTGGAGAGGGGGGTGGATTTGTTTGCGTTTGCGTTGTTGATTGCGACGTTGAGGGATTGGTTTCCGATTTGCCAGAGGAGGGTACCGGCTGTCTGTTATGTCATTTGTTAGGTATGCATTTGGATTTGCGGGATTTGTGGGAAATGCTCACCCCGAGTCCTGGAGTCAACATGCCCGCAGTGACGACCAAGTTCGAGAACACGTAGGCTGACATGCGGAAGGGGAGGAGAACTGGCGTGCCAGTGTCTGTGTGGTCGTTAGCCAATTGCCTGGTATAGATAAATACAAGTTCCCATACCAGGATGCAAAGTCGCATCGACGATCTTCTTCGCGGACCACAGTTCAGGCGTCATAACTGGGACACGGTTCTGCTTGTAGGAGGCGATGAGGCTCTTAGCACTCTCCAGACCAGCGCCTGAGACAAAGAGAGTCCTGCAATTGAGACTGATCAGTAACTTGTCCAATACCAATCCTCTCATTCATGGACTTACCGAGGATCAGCAATGTCGGCGGCATGGCGCACCCGACCCCAGTAGGTGGAGAGGTCATATTGTGATGGGGGGAGATCCCGGCTGCCAGGGAGAGAGGCAGACATAGCGAATGAAAGCACTGTAAAGAATGTATAGAGAATGTATAGAGAGAAAAGACTATGACTCCGCGGGGAGAAAGTGGTTTTTCGATAATAAAAAAGGCGGTGAGACGATAAGTTGAGGATTGGCCAATCAACAACCGGATCTGATCTATATCGGAACTCTAATTTGAACTTTTCAGAGCGCCTTCGAGTAACATGAGAGGGCTGTGTCAGTACTAGCAGGTATCTTCGGAAGTATAACGGCCAAAGCCAGCAGTCTTTCGGTCTAAATAGAGCAGGTCAGATTCGAGACTAAATAGGTCGTGCCTGAATGCACTTATGCCGGCCCCTCTCCCGAGATCGGTTCGCCACGCCGATATGCGGGGATCTTGCATACTACTTGAATGTATAGTATATAAGTTAAGTATAGAGATGATTCTATTCTGTTTTGTCCAGAAATGTGAGGGAATAGTACATAGGTATCATAATGGGTCACAGAGGACTAGGAAAGGGCAGTGTGACTTGGGTAATGCATGGTATAAGCGAGCCCTGCTGGGCGAGAATGACACAAAAGAAATAAGGCACAAGTCTTCCACTGATTATCCAGTATGATCAATAGTTTTACCGGATGCGGTAGGACTTGTGGGCCAAAGGAGAGGGAGGGGCATTTCCCGTGGGCACGTAAGAGGTTCGGACACGGTTCTGTCTCGATGGCGTTTGGGCACAGAAGATGCAGACGTATACAGAGGGCAGGTTTGCACGCTCCAATCCGACGCACCGGGTGTGTAACCAGTGTGTGCATGATTCACTGTGAATTGTTAGTACAAACTGAGACTCGACATGTGTACATTAGACTCACCATTGAATCATAAGATGGCCACCATTATCCATCGAGCGGCAGACACATCGTGTACCATTGCTTGGATTGCTGTGACGATCTGTGCTGGGAGTGGCAAGATCTGGGTCGGTCAGAGTGGTAGGAGAGGCATTGTGTCGGGGGTGAATGTCGAAATCGCTGCCGAGGCGCGGAGGGGATGACCGGAGGTGTGTAAAGGTATGTGATGAGCGGGAGAGTCGGTTGTTAAAGCCATTCATAGACGGTCTAGGTCCCCGGCCGCGTTCTTTCAGGACCTGCCGGAGCGCATGTGTAGCGTCACCACTATCGTCGTCCTCTCCGGGCAACGAGTCGGAAGCCGCACTACCCCGGGTATAGGTGGAGTCGGAGTGAAGCAGAGAAGAGTGTCGCTTGGGGGTCCGCTTGATATCAGGAGATCCACGATGGTTCACTCGCCCAGCCCCTCTCGAAGAGCCAGCCCAAGGCGACTTTCGACCCGAATGGGAAGAGCCGACAGTGGAGGCATATGAACCCTTCGAAGGAGGCCGGGAGCCGGAATCACTGCGGGAAAGTGGACGGCGGTTGAGGTCAAAGATGGAAAAGGAGGACTGAGCACGGTGCAAGACAGGATACTCCGAGTACTCCGCCGGATCGGCTTCGCTTTCGGTTGCAGAGCCACCTAAATCCATCCCGGTCAGGGGATCGGTTAATCCTGTGGGACCCTCATCGACAGGCTCCATCTCAGCCTTTGCACGACCATCCCGGCCAATTCGAAGCACCACGGAGGACGAGCGCGTGGGCAAGCCCGTGGCAACCGAGTTGGCCCGAGCCAAGGGGGTAGGACGCATCCCTTTCGCCGGAGACGAACGGCCCTTGGAGGGGCTCTTTCGGATCCCGCTCGTGGATGCCATCATACCCCCAGCTTGACTGAGCGGCCTGTGTGAGCTTGTGATGGCAGTGTGAGTTACACTGCGGGTCAGCCCCGGTCGTGTGCCCCTCGGTGTGAAGTCGTCATCTTCTTCCTCGCTTTCGCTCAGACCAGCAAACGATGCAGGTCGCTGCCCATCTGGAACCCGGGCACGGAGAAGCTCCTCTCGTTTCGATTCTTCCGCCTGGTGGTGGTAGGGCTGTCGAATGCCACGCAGAGACCTTGTCTGCGGCGTGAGATGAGGCCCACCAAACCGTCGGGCGGGAGAGCTCAGGAACAAGGCTGGGTCCTCTGCTTTGGTAACTGGAATCCGGGGAGAAGTCGAGAACGGTGCAGGGAAGAGAGCAGCGTCGGTAGGTGGTGCTGCTGAAATCCCAAACCCGTTCCCGAACTCGGGGAGGTCAATTGAGCCATCGATGGTTGGTAATTGAGGAATGTGATGTGTGTCGGAGTTCTGACGAGAATCTAAGCCATTGTTGGTGGGTAGAGGAACTTCACCGGCGTTTTCTAGATCCTGATCCCAGAATAATCGCTGCTGTGGGAAGAAAGGAGAGCCCGTGGGATCCAAGGAAGCCAGCTGGAACAAGTCGGGCGAAGACTGTAGGTTGCCAAACATGCGAGGAGACGCCCCCAAAAGACGACTCGGGGTTTCCAGATGACCCATACCCGGTGTTGCCCCTGGTCCATCCCCTTCGTCGAACTCGGGAATCTTCCGCCTCGACGCACTGGTAGGAGGAGGTGTCTGCATGGAAGCCGCCGACTTGGCCGAGCCCATCGGAGGGTAGTCTTCGCTCGCACTCTGGTTCGGCCTCACTGCACGAATCCGCTTGGCCGTATCGGTCTGGTCCACCCTTCCCTTGTAACTCTCCCCATGACTCGGGGCCGGACCTCCCTTCAAGGTTGAGGCGAGGCCGAACCTCTGTGGTGTACGGTGCAGCTCCGGACTGGAGGCATAGGGGTCGGAGGTATCCCAGGTCACTCGAGGGTCGAAGAAGCTGGACTCGAGTTTCGGGGGGAAGGAGTCACCGAACGAAGCCGGAGTCCTCGTTGGCGTTTGCGGTTCGGGATAGCTGAAGCTGAAGAAATCCATGAGTGACTATAGAAGAAGAGAACCCCGCAAAGCATACCTGTGAACAGGATCCCAACTCATGTCAGCACCATTGAACGTCCCTGGCAACCTTAATGGAGAGCAGAATGTGAGGGGAGCATTGAAGGGTAGACGTTGCTGATCAAGGGATGAAAGATGGAATGGAATGTTTTTCTTTTTCTGAGTTCGTTTTTTTACGTGGGGACTTTTCTTTTTGACCTCCACTGATATCCACAGCTATTCCGGACTTTCATGCAGGAACGGATAAGATGGATCTACACAACAGGTTACAGCCTGGAGCCTAATGTTAGTTATGGGGAGTACATGTACAGCTGAGAAAATGGGGCACATTCGGTAAGAAAGCCTATCACCTCCTTCGGCCGCCAGAGTTGCCCTTGAGAGGCGCCGATCCAGACCAAAGCGAGATCGAGCCTTGTAAGACGAGCCACTTAACGGGCTTCGTTTGCTGCGCTTTTTTCTTTGCAGTTTAGTTCCGGAGTAGCCAACCCAATGACGACATGTTCCACTCGGTCACCCCGTATATATAAAGAAACTCAGCATGGATGGTGAGAGTGAAAGAGCTTACGGAAGTCCTTAGGAAGGGGGAACTCTACTGTGTTCATCCCTCGGACTGGGGTAACTAACCGGCTACTGTACATGTACATGCACAGTATCCCCCTGGCATGCCCCTACCCACTTCCAAGTTTTGACCTTTTTCTTTTCATTTCGGTTCGGAGCTGCGAGCTGGCGCTGACACAATCTTGAGATCGGAAGATCTCAATTTGCTGTTTCTGGGGTGATCCATAGACGTGGTACGATAGATGCATATCTAAGATCCCACCCACTGGATACATGATATTATCTATTACTGTATATATTATCATGCAATATTTCCATCTTGTTCTACTGTATAATTCTCCCTGTCAGAGAGTAAGACAAGTGCCTAAAGTCTGCTAAACGCCGGGCACGTGCATTGGGGCCAAAAGTACGAAGGAGAGAACAGATCTGTCTCATGAGGCGACTAACCCTATCTGGTGATAGATACACTTCGCTTGTCATCAGCTCACTATGAATAAGTTCTGCTTAAAGTTGCTTACATGGAAGTTAACTTAGTTAGCGTTAACTATGTTAAGTTAAAAGAGCTGGGTCACCTGTCGATTTAGGCACAACTCAGCCACAACGCCACACCGCCACAGTGTGCCTGGCTTGAAGCATCAAAGATCAATGTTGAGAGAGACACCACTGGTGTCCAAATATAACATGTCACAACCCATGGATCTAATCTAATCTATTCATCACTGACATCTTTCCCAAATCACAATCCCAACACTACCCGTGTCAAATTCATCACCCTCACCCGCCCTGCTTCAACCCATCCCACATAAGATGGCAGATACTACCAAGTCCAACGTCCGCAAACGCAAGCCTCACCGCAAAGGAAAGAACAGACGTGTACGGAAGCGTGGTGGCAAGGCCCGCTCTGCCCTAGATGCGGGCGCCCAAACCCAGCCATTATCAGAAGTCCTCAACGAAACCAAACATCGAAAAGCGAAGCCATGGACTGCAATTGTACCCATCTCGGATGATCCACTTGAGCAGGTAAGTTCAGTCGGACCCATAGCCAGACCATCCAGGTAACACATTCCACACAGAACATTGTCGAGCGTGTACCCATGCCAGAAGGATATATCTTCGTCCCCAAAGGCAATGTTTACATAACGCGACATTGCCGCAGCAAGACCAAAGAATCAAACCAGATAGTCTACCTAGTCTACGTAAGAACAACAAACTAATCCCCCAAAACCATCCACATATCAACCCTGACACCCCTAGAAACCAAACGGCAAACACACACTCGGAATCCGAGTCCCATCAGAAATCCACACCACAGTCCAAGAATCCGCAGCAGCAACAGCAGATTCACGCGCAGACGCCGTAAAAACCCGCGACGCAAAAGATACCAGCAAGAACCGCAAACTTCTCATCGAAAAATTCCCACTAATGCCCAAACCAAGCCTGGAAGTGATCCTCAACCATGCATTCCTGAAAGGATCAGGACGGGTAGGCCGGACGGCACAGATATCCGATGAACATCGGATCCAGCTGGCTGTTGAGGCTCATATTCGCCATGTGATGACGCCTTACGACAAGCTTCTTGATGAAGGGGTGGAGCGGAATAAGGCCCGGAAGCGGGTTTGGGATACAGTTCAGGCTATTGAACGGGCTTGGCAGGGGTGTATGGCTAAGGAGCAGAAGGAGGAGGATAGTTCATTGGCGTTGCGGCTCGCGTGATGGATAAATTGATTATGCATCGTCGGGGTTTTGTTTACATTTACGGGCACACAGAGAGCGACTATGATTTTGTACTGGGATTTCTAGGTGATATGGGATACAATGGGATTATGATCATTTACTTCAAGGACAGCAGATGGAGTAAGGATATTGTACTTTTGCCTCTATTAGATATGTTCACAGAAAAGAAAAAAGGGTTCAAGGCAAAAAGAAAAAGAGTAAAGAGGTCCACATGGACCACTAGCTATCTACACCCCCAAAATCCTTAAATCCTCATATCCTCATCTTAAATCCTCTCTTGGCCTCACAGCTCATTCAACCCGTCTTAATTGCTCTCATCTTCAACTCTGCCAATGAACCTCGGAGCAGGCCAGAAGTAAGCTGACACCAACTCAGATCTCAGCGCTTCCAGAGGTGCGCGAGATCAGGCGGACCTGGAAGTTGTCGTGGATGTAAGGCAGCCCAGAGAACCAGCCCTCTCCATCTTCGATCATTTCGATCATCATAGCCAGGCGGTGAGAGACAGCTTCAAGAGCCTCTTCGCGGTTTGTGTTGTCGGTGGCGATCAGCACGAAAAGGTGGTTGAGGAGCGACCAATGGGGAAGCTCAGAGAGAGAATTGCAATTAGACTGCCCAAGTGCGCCACGGAGGTAAATGCGAGCAGCGGAGAGATAGACATGGTCATTGAACACTCCGCGAGGGACGGGGAAGTAAAAGACATGATGGTAAACCATGTAGTCTGGGCGGTGTTCGGGGAGAGGTACGGGTCGTCGGGGGTAGAACCAAGGATACGGGGGCTGAGCATCGTGGGCGGGGCGTTCGATGTACGCAGGTGCGGTCATAAAGGGCTCGCCAACACGTTGATCAAACCAGTGGTTGTTGTAAGACATGTTTGGTAAGGGAGCTTGAGCTCAAGAGTTGGGACCAAAAGTGTGGAATGTGAAATGGAAAGGCCTTCGGAAGAACGGCGATGAGGATAGAATCGAATGATAGACCAAGTCGAATTTATAGACCCGGGAATCTGGTTTGGATGCGCATATCGATTCAATCTGCGCACATAATGCTATTCCGACATTGATGTTATCGTCGGCACCTCGTGGTTCCGACAGTGAACTCCGGCGCATATATCTTACTATATGAGGACAGAGCATATGCACAGCTCCCAATGGCCGGCACCATTAGGGAGAGCATACCGCATGCAACATATCTGGTTCTATACCACATGGAGATGGAGTGTGCAAAGCCTGTGGATGCGGCATGACTCAAACGAAGAGGGAGAACCCTAGCAAATTCGTGTGACAAACGAGAAGAAGCGTTCAGATTCTGGGATGGCCCTTTGGCCCCATAGATGGAGAAGCATCCCAGCGCCTACGAGTCTGGCGGGCGAAAGATGGCGGACGAGATGACATTGTGCACATGGTGCTAGTTGAGGACGCGAAGTTCTACAGTGATGTCCCCACCGATTTATACTACAGGTCCCGAAGCGGTCTAGCGTATTTCGTGACAAAGAGCAACTTTACCCTCACTGTCTCTATTTATACTGTAGTTTACTGTCTATACTATAGTCTCTGTAGTTCATTCTAGTTTAATGTTCCGACACTAATAGCTAAAGAACTGAAATGGAGAAAGTTCCCATACAATTGAGCTTCACAGATCGTGGCTGGTCCCACTCTGATGCCAAGACCGATCTCAACCACAGGGCTGGATATGTAGCTATAGATATAGATAGATTTGGCAACTATTCTAATCATCTCTATAGAGAACTTCATCTAGTGGTATATCCTCGTATCTTTGAATAACACAAGGACAGAACACTGATTTGCCAAGCAGCCAAGCAACCAAGCCACTCATCCCCACAGTAAGCAACAGGGTCCAACCCGGTCAAACCGTGTTCGAGGCTAAACAACCCGAAAGGGAAAATGCCCAAGTCGACAAGTCGGGGTTTCACAAAAGATTTTCTCACATTCGCATCATGGCTCTTGAACACCCACCATGAGGCACCGCTCATACTTAGGGTCTCTGAACCGACAGAGATCAGCCCTAATAATCGCAGTCGTGGTTCTCTTTGTCCTATTCGAATCCCTACCGCTGCCAAAAACCAGACCGGATGCCAATTTTGAGGTCTCACAAGACCGACCCCGGTATCTCCATCAGTCGCCATTTCGCACGAATCCCAACTATGAATATGAGATCAAGCTCTCGAATGCGCTGCGCGATCTTGAGATCGAGGGCCAACTCCGCGGTGATGAGGGTGCCCCGGATACAGTCTGGCAGATCATGTTGATGGACAATGACAAGCGAGGCGATGATTCCTTCCAGTTCGAGAAGAAGAACTCAGATTGGAAGTATTCAGTGAGACACCGGCTACACTTCCACTGTTCATTGACATTATTAACCCACCCCAGCTCATCAACGCCAAATGGGCGGACAGATTCATAACCGAAACCCTCGCTTCAATCCCAGACCTCGAACGCCTCTACAAATCCTACCCAGGCTACGTCCTCCGCGGCGATCTTCTCCGCTACCTAATCCTCTGGTACTACGGCGGTTACTATGCAGACGTCGACGTCTACCCAGCAACAAGCATAAAAGCCTGCCCATCAATGCAGAACACAATCTTCAACCCCAACGCCACCATAACCAACACCAACATCTCGCTAGTAGTCGGCATAGAAATCGATGAACCCTTCGCCTCAACCGAGAAAATGCGCGACTGGCACTGGGTACGGAGATACGGGTTCCTACAATACACGATGTACGCACCACGAAGATTCAGCCCACTCCTCCGGGAAGTAATCGTGCGCGTGCTATCACACACGAAACAACACATAGCCCAGAGTCATATCTGGGGCGCGAGATACAACGAAATGACAACATTGGAGATAACGGGACCGGGCGTATTCACCGATGCCATTCTGGACGTTCTATCTGAAACATTACCATCAGACCACCGACTCATTCAGAAGTCTGTCGATGCAGATGAAGGACTGGGTGACTTGTTACCGTCTTATTCGGCTCTCCCTGTGCAGCGGGTGACGTGGGCGCCATTTTATCAGCTTCAAGAGACGCTTTGTGTTGATGAAGGTGAGGCTAAGAGTGGGAAGATGCTTGGGGGGTTGTGTGTTCTCCCTTTGAATGCTTGGGGGAATGGGCAGAGACATAGTAGGGCTGAGGGGTTTAATAGCCGGCATGCTTGTATTAATCATCGGTTTGGGGGGACTTGGAAGCCTTGGAGGCAGAGTTGGAGGAAGCGGTTGTTTGGTTGAGGGTTAGGTTGCATAGGCATATATCAGGCGTTTGAGCCAACTATTTTGCATGATGGACATGTGGTGACTTGATTCTTTTTGAGGGCTTATTTCAGACAGGATTTGAATATTGAATACTGACTTTACATTGGCTTTTGAGGTACAACCAGACTGTAGGTGGAAGGTAATGGCACATGATGATATGATACAGGGTAGAAGAACAAAGGGTATAGTACAAACGTGGTAGATCAAGGTATCAGACCCAAAGATAAGCAAGGAGATATTGTAGCATGCCACATAGTGGCTAAAGAGGAAGGGAAAATGGTCAAGGGGTAACAAAGAAGCCTAAGCACAGTCCATACTGGCGTAGTCTGCATCAACCTCCTCACGGCGGCGAAGGAAAGAGGCTTCCTCAAAGTCGTCCATGTTCATAGTGGGCTGCTGGGTCATGTTGCGACGCACAGCAAGAATGCGACGGCTCTGACTAACTTTTGACGAGGTATCTTGCCAGGACTCGTCGTTGAAAGTGTTGGATTGCGGACAATAATGCTCGTCGTCAAGCATATCACTATCGAAACCCAAAGTTCTCTTTTGACCTCCTAAAGCCCCAGTAAACGAAGACGTAGACTCCTGACTACTCGACGGAATCGAATAGGCATCTCCGTCATCATTAACAAGGTATTCAACGTGGTCGAATGGGCGCTTGGTAGAGCCAGAGAAAGGAGCAAGCTCGCTGTTGCCGTAAGGAGCAGCAGCCGGGGTCTGAGCGACACCTGCATGATGTGGGACCTTCTCTTCAGACTTTGCCATGTGGGTTCTATATCCGTCTGCAACGGACTTCCGGACCCGCATTCCTACGGATAGGAGCGAGGATTGCACTTTGGCTGGGACGACGGGTGTGGCAGAGAAGGTTGCGGCGGAGTAATGGTGGTGGTGTGAAACGGTAGGTGTCTCATTAGGCACTGGCTGAGAAGCGGTCGTAAAGTATCCCGTGATGGGTGGTTGGAAACGGCGCTTCTTTGACAGCGTACTGTTGGAGGCGAGGGACGGCATTGTGGGGAAAGACTCCAAATTTGTGCTGTGGAAGGCGAGACTCTGAGATGACTTGATGGCTTGAGATTCGATATGTCGTGAACTGCAAGTGTGACGTAGGGAGGCGAGGGGCTGAGGAAAGAAAAGAATGAGCGATGGTCGCCGGGCAACGCGACCTTTACGCGGGACGCGCGACGTTCAATTTGTCCCAACCCGGGATAGCGGGCACGTGACATGATGAAGTATAGCCAATCCGGTGGATGAGTACATTACTACTCTACTCCGTGCAGTATGATAAAATGTATTTCAAGAGCTAGTAGGTAAATTGTAACTAAATGTAGATTCATGTGTACGCCAATAATATCACTATATATCCTATGCTTGGACGAACATGTCAATGTCAAAAGACAGCGCAAATGTATAACGAACAATCATTATTTTGAAATATGGCAGGCATCAACTCTATCATTGACCAATATTTCCGCGCTTTCCGCCACGCTTAGCACGATCATGATGAGCCTTGAGCACTGCCCGAGTCTCCACCAAACTTCTCTTGTTCTTACTGCGGGCCTTGCCCAGCGTCATGAGGAAGTTCTTGCGGCGAGCCTTCTCCTTGTTGGTAGTACTCTTTCCTTGCTCCTCCTTGCGCTCCTTACGTCTAGCCTCCTTAGACTTGCGCTCAGAGCGGTCGGGCTGACCCTCCTTGGCGTGGGCAATCTTCTCCTCACGCGTGGCCTTAGCGGCAGACAGAGCGGCAAGACCTTCGATCTCCTGGGCAGTCAGAGGATCATCAGTGTGACGAGAAGTCCAGGGAGCAGCACGCTTGCCCTTGTTGCCTGGAAGGAGAGCATCGACTGATGCCTGGGTGCGGAGCTCAGCGAGCTTGGCAAGATCAGCGGGTGTGAGGATGCGGGTGGTGGCCAGTTTCATGAAATCCATTTCCTCCTCCTTCTCGGTTTCCTTTTCACCGTCCTTCTTCTCAACCTCGGCGTCTGCCTTGGCCTTCTTTGAGGGCGGCGCCTTGCCTTCATCCTCGGAATCGCTCATTTCGATCTCAACATCTTCCTCCACATTGATCCATTCACCAGAGTCATCACTGTCCTCGTCATCTTCGACATTCCAGGCTGCCCAGTCGGCCTCCTCGTCATCTTCTTCAGCGTCTGAAGGAAGACCATTCTCCACATTCCTCTTGCGGCGCTCCTCGTCCTTCCACCTGGCCAAGAGTTCCAGACCCTCGATGCCGCCAGCTTGCTGCTCACCGAACCGTCTCTCTTGCTTCGTGCCAGCACGCAGACTCATGGCAGCTTCCTTACCACGGTCACGCTTCTTGAGCATCTGCGCTCCGACGTTACGGTAAAGACTGAGAAGACCCTTGGAGGCCATCATGACACCTTTATCCTTACTCTTCTTGTACATGACAAGATCCTGCAGCAATGTCTCATCCATAGCCAAAGGCTGTCTCACACAGATTTCACGAATGGCATTGAGACCAGCGGTGGCAACCTCACCGGCGGAGGCTTCAGACACGAACTCGTTGGCAATCTTTTGAATGAGGGGCTCGAGAACATCAGGAGGAACCAAGTCGTGGGTTGCCTGGGCCAAAGAAGCCAGGAATGAAGTCACAGACGGTTGACGGGGAGTAAGGTACTTTTGGAAGTAGGAGTAGAGAGGCATGATGTGCAACTGGTGCAGACCCACTAGACGGGACACCAACTGGAGCACCTGAAGCTTTTGCTCCAAGTTCAACTTTGACTTTTGGTTCTGGAGATGCTTGTAGAACATAGACTCGGCAAATCCTTGAGGATCGTGCAGCAAGTGGAGTGCTGAGAAGTTGAGGGGATGGGGTTGGTTCTTCTTCTTCTCCTTGTTCCTGACTGACTTGATGGCCTTTTCGGCGGCACGGGCCTTCTTGCGAGTCTTCTTGTTGATAGTAAGTTGGTGCTTAACTTGACCAACACTGACACCCTCATCGTCACTGCTTTCATCCTCCATGTCCTCACGCTCCTTGTCACCACCGAGGAAGAAACGGACGCCGCCAATGATAACCTTCTCGTTCTCAGACAAGGCAGCCTCCTTCATGATCTCAACTGCCTTGGCCTCAGTCCAAATTTGACGCTTCCATAGCTCTCGGGTGATCTTGATCGCCCACAAACCTTTAGACGATGTGCGATCAGATGTGACCAAGTTGAAGAGAACGGTCTGCATAGTCCGATTCAACTTGTGGTTGGTAGTCTTCGAATTTGAGGTGCGAAGCTCCGAAAGGATCTTCTGGAACAGCAAAGCACGCAGAGTCTTGCTAGGTGTGGCGACAAGAATGGGGAAGAGAGTGTGCAGTAGGCTGAAGACCGTTAGAACAAAAGCAGAGGACTAGAAGGAGGGAAAACATACGTGGCGGAGTCAATGATATCCTTCTTCTTCAAAAGCACCAGACTTCCAACCAGCTTCTCCCGCAACTCAGTCTCCAACACCAGGTGATGTTGCATGAGCATGTCAATGAGCTGCTGCGGGAAGTCCTTCAGAATGTCGGGGTAGCAGTCGGCAACATGGGAGATGAAGTCAATGAGATCCCGAAGAGAAATCACGCCGGTATCTGTAGCGGACGAGGGCGAGGCCATGAAGATCTCGCGGTGGGATTCATATTGGTAGTGTTGAGCGCGGAAATCTTCAATATAAGACCTGAGCAGCACAAAGCGACATTAGTCCTGATCTAGCATAACCCGACCGCAAGAAATATCTTCATTGACTTACTTGGGATCCCTGCGAATCTTGTGTTGCAAATTGGGCCTGCAGAGCGCGAAAAAAGATGTTAGTATCTCGGACTGAAACCTCTGATCGACGGGCGCATCGACTGGCAAAATGCACATACAGATCAGCCTCGACCTTTTCCAAGGCTCCAAGCTTGCGTTTCACCATCTTCGCAGTATTCGAAATGAGAAGAGGGGTGGTTGGGGGAAGATGTATTTGGCGCGGACGGTCGACTCCAGGTCCGAAACTTTTTTCCTCCGTATCGATAAGCGACGGAAAATCTCAATATCAGATCAAGCCAGGTCAGGGTAGGACTTCTCTACATCGTTGAATATTATAATACTAATATTAGACACATCAATCTATTAAACTACAGACGATCTACTCTGTTTCAAATTGAAGTCAAGAAATTTTTTTTTCTTAGGAAATTGGTCATTACAACCAAAGGTCTTCATGATCGCATCTCAACTACTGAAGAAAGACATCCGATTTCGTTCCCTTTTTAGATCGAGCCTTCTCCTTGACTGTATAATATGTACAGCCCCGCAGATGCATGCAAATCCATTGAATCCCGGTTAAAACCCCCCGTCCATTCCAGTAATCGTAAACAGAGGACCAAACGGAGAACAAATCCAACACAACCCATTTACCGGTTGCTCTTGGCAACACGCTCGAGCTCGTCCTTCTTCTTGATGGCGTAAGAGTTGGAAGAACCCTTGGCGGCGTTGATCAGCTCCTCAGCAAGGCACTCAGCAATGCTCTTGATGTTGCGGAAAGAGGCCTCGCGAGCACCGATGGTGAGCAGAGAGATAGACTGGTTCACGCGGCGGAGGGGAGACACATCGACGGCTGCAAGTGGGTTAGAAAATCGGCAAGAGTGGCGGAATGGATTGTTACATACCCTGGCGGCGGACGGTACCCTGGGAACCGATACGGGTGCTGTCCTCACGGGGACCGCAGTTGACGATGGCGTCAACGGCGACCTGGAGAGGGTTCTGGTCGGTCATGATGTGGATCTGTGTGATAGAAGATTAGTGGCCGAGACGTTCGAATAGGGCGTAATGGCACGTACGATCTCGAAAGCGTGAGCGACAATGCGGACAGCCAAGAGCTTCTTTCCGTTGTTGCGGCCGTTCATCAT